AAAAGCTAAAAAAAAAAAAAGCTGACACCACCAAGTATAGAATTCCCAAAAGTATGTCGATAAAGAATTAGAAGTTGGGAGTAAGATTTACAGTAGCTAAAAGTTTCATGTGTCTCTATAGGAACTAACAGAGCCGAGGACTGGTGTAGGGCAGGCACAGTGGTGGTTCATTTGTTCATTCTAAGGAGTTGCTAATGTGTGCTATGTTGACTGGCGGAACCACCTACCGCCTATTCAGTGATAAGTGTTTACTAACATTGCTTCTATCATAGGACTCCAGGGACCAATGGGAGCGATATGAGCAGAAACAGACTGAGAAAGATTTCTGTCAACTCCTGATTTGCTTTGTTGCTTGAATGCAAACAATGGATCTTGTGGTAGAGATGAGGAGTATGGTTATCTCCAAAGCAAAACATCTTGAAAGATTGTTTAATGAAGAAATGGAATTCTTTTTAGCAAACGTAATTGTGAAAGATTGCAGTAATTGTGAGATGCCATTACCACTTGCCACAGTAGTTTAAGATCTGTATTGATTTGGCTTTTAGTTACCTATGTTTTCTTGGAGTCTGTTCTTACCAGTGCCTATGTTACTCCTTAAGGTATAAAGTAGGTGTTTTGAGAGCCACATTAGTCCTTTTAAGCTAATAGCTACTTATGAAGGTGCATTAGCTCTTCAATAATTCTATACAGTACCTTAACTACAAGGACTAACTGTAGATATTAGAGACAACAGGATTCTGGAATGAGACAGAGAGGGTGAGAAAGGGAGAGGGGACGAGAGAGAGAGAGAGAGGATTTTCACTCACAGAAATTATGTGAATTTCTAATTGAGCAAGTTAGATTTCAGTTGATCAAGATCATGCATGATTTGATAACTAATTAATTTCTTCACTGACCTGTATTTCCTGTGTACCCTTCTCATGGTGAAAGGAAAATGGGTTTTTTTGTTTCTTTTCTGAAGTTTCCCTCGCATCTCCCAACATCAATTCAACCTCTTTTGCCTTTAACATGGTTTGAGAAATGAGTCCTTCTTGTAACGCAAGCTGTAAAACTTTTAGCCTTAGGAAAAGAAGTGTTGTGCTCAGGTTGGGTAAACAAATAGAATTCTTCCAAATGAAGACAGAGGAGCCAGCCCTGAAAATAAATGGCTATGTTCCTGGTCCTTTGTAGGAAAAATCCTTTTCTGGCTTCATCCTTTCTGGAACGTAAAGGTCAAAAGAAACTTCACACAGCATCCTTCAAATCTCAGTGCCCTGGCCAAACAAGTTAGGAGAACGAAGTCCTAATGAGTATCTAATTATATAATTCTGTGTTTGCATTCCAGAATTGTGCACACTATGCTTTTTGAAATAGTTCTACATATAAACATCCTCAGAAACCAGTTCTTTTACATTTATGATTGTCTTATAATTAAATCTGAAAAAAATTTTAATATACTTTTTAATACTATCACTGAGAATAATAATCTATAGCCAAGTAATTAAGTAATGAATGTCTTGCACTCTACATTCTGGATATTTAAGCTGATTATCATCTTTTAAACAAATGGGAAAATATAAATTCAATTTGTAAAATAAGAAAGCTTTTACTCTAAGTAGTCTGAAAATTGAAATATATTAATCACTGCACATATATACTCTCTCTCCAAAGCCAAAATTACTTAGGTATTTTTGCAACTCTCTTTTGGTTAAGTTTCTACTTTTCCAACTCCATATATCTTACGCATATAAGTTTTTCTGCCAGAAATAGATTTGAAATGTTTTAAGTCTTGCCATTTGTATCTGAAAACAGTTGGAACCATGTAGCTTATTTTTGGCAAGCAGAATCAAGATCACCACAATGGAATCTATAATATAAAGCCTATAGTGTAAATTTTCATCTTCAGCAGTAACAATCCCTCAAAGTAGGTTAGGAATTAACTGCATGTATTTAATTTCTGAACTGGAAATTTACATGGCAGTTCAGTGATTAATCATTAATCTTGGTAAATGCCAATTTTCTACTCATTAGGAGTAAAACATCTATTTTTGCAACTCAAATGGAAAAAATTTATCATTTAATCCTTTGCTCCAAAATGCCTCTTCAGTTGGATAAGCTTATAAACTTCCAGCGTCACTTCAATTCACAAGTGGGTTGAACAGAACCTCAATTTTTGAGGCCCAGTGTAAGAGTGTGAGTCATGGTAAACTTAATGAGAATCAATACTGCCAAGTAAACCAGAAAGATATTTTATTTTAAACAAATTTCAAATGAACATGAAAGTTTTCTGGAACTTTTGAAATCTGTATTTTGTGTTTTCTGAGTGCCTACTTCAGAGCAAAACAGCAAACTATTTCTGGTTACTTGAAGAAAAAAATGTTGATATTATTCATTTTTGCAAATGCACAGTTTAGTAACTCTCTTACACAGAAACATTATGCAGATTTTTCTAGAACTTGAAGATACAGTAGTAAATACCTTTCCAAACAAGGTTTTAAATAATCTGGGAACTGAAGTAACCCAAGACAGCTTGTCAGACTTGTATTCACCCCAGATCACTTCACCTCTGAAATGATCTAAGAGGCTCATGGTAGAGATACGCATGGCATACAAGTTCTATAGAGATTTGGACCTTGAATGTTTTATATTCTACACTAAGCTTCACTGGACCATGTAATTTTGCAACCAGATACCTTTCAGCAAGATCACAATTTTTGGGAAAAGGCTGTGATTATTGTACTGCCTATTTTAAATCGTATTTTTGCTAAATGGATTGCATTTTAAACTCTGATGATGCAATATTGAGAATTTGGTTTGGGTCTGATTTTTCTAAGATAATTATCTTAGAGATACTGGCAGTAGATTTACTAATACGTCTTTGCTGCAAATTAGATATGGCTCCTATGTTGGTTTTGATTTGGTTATTTATTTGGTTCAAAAAATTTCTTATCAGTAACTGTTATACTAAGCATTTTAACTTTGAATTTGGGCATTAGTTTGAGAATTTTTATAGTGAGATGGACCTCTTGCAATAGCTAGTGCTTCCATTTTCATTTAATACTTTCATAGGTGGCTTATATGTTTAAAAGTGTTAATTAGATTATCTTTTTTCAATGGATTTAAGTTCAGGTTTCTGAGGGTTTTTCATTGAATCAAAAAATATGCCTAGGTGATTACTTCTCAAATAAAGATGAAATAAATATATGAAAAAATTTGACTAGTAACTGCTTGCTGTAATAGCGTGCCGAGTTTCCAAAATTAAAAAGTATATTACTTTCAATGAATGAAACATGTTTGGTTAAAAAAATTTTGAGATCATTAAGTATGTGTGATATCCCTTCAGTCATAAGTGAATAAAGGTTAATTTGATGACAAAACAGGGACACCACAATACTAGAAAAGACTATATAAAGAATACATTTGACTTTTCAATTCATAAACCATTTCTTTCTCTGAAACAATATTCACATTAGTAAACAATGTTGAATTCCTTTATATAACTGGCACCAATTTGCTTAATATACGATTATTTGTATTTTATCGAAAACACATATAAAAGCATTTTTTGTGACATGACTAGATATCAAGAGTTCTGTTCCTATTACCATCAAGAATGGTGGGCTGTAAGATGCAGACACAGTTTTGTGAGGAAAATTTGAGGCCATAACTGTTCACTGAGGAATGCAGCTGTATGAAGCAGAGTCCAACATTTACTTCAAGAGAAGCTTTGTAAACTAAATGAAACAACTACACATTTATGTCTATTGGCTATAGAATTTTCTAAGAGGCTACACCATATTCTCATCAGACAATTTGTGTAGGGAATAAAACTTCTAGAATTTCTTTTAATATTTATGCCTCTTTTGATGTAAAGAGTTTCTTCACCTTTCAGGAAACATTGAGCCATGAGAACAAATACTTGGTTACTGAGATTGCTTGGGGCTGGGTATGCAGACACTCTAGTCCCTCTTTCCCTTCATTTTGGACTGTTTCACTGTTTGTTATCTCACTTACCAAGAGGAGCTGAGGGGGAATTAAACTAATTCTGCTGGCTTTTATTCACCTGTACTACTCCTGCCCTGAATCCGCATAATGCTCCCACCACTAATAATCACTTTTGCACAATTAGAAATAGTTTAAAGAACAACTTCCAGAAAAGTTCTTAGTTATAGGACTTCTATCTGTTTTAAGGTCAGGGACCCATCAGTTGCCTTGCTATCTACCCTCCCCCCACTACCCCCAAATCCAGACACCTTACTAAAATTGCCTGAAAAGTTACTTGAGGTAACTTTTGGCTTAAACTGTCTGGCCAGTGGGATGTATAATATTTTCCTTTCTAATGATTAGGTGCAAATGTGCTGTATCACTGAACTACAAGATTCCGTTAGAATCAAAGCCATAATAAATATTGTGGAACCAGTATTTAAGAATTTATTGGAAAAATGATTTATGTATTTCCATTGATATCTAAAGATGAATCTTTAATTTCAGATATAGAACTTCCTCCTCCTACGTTCTTATTTATCCATACAGTAGTATGCAGAATCTACTTCAGAATCTTTATTTGGGCAAATGTTCATGGTGAACTGAGGCAATCATCTGTACAGTTCATTAGAAAGATGAACATAATTGAGGAGAAGCACAGTTTTGCATGAATTAACTGCATAACTGCTTCAGATTTCCACATTATGTGTAGTCCTATTTAGAGTAAAATACCAAAATTTTATCCATTAACAGATATCTACTTGCTAATAATATTAGCTATTTTTTGGCATTCAAAGTTTAGTTAAGTAACCACAAAGAGCCACACAGATTTTTCTTAAATGCATATAAATCCTTTGATATTAGAGACTCCTGGATTTTATATAAGGCATAATGTCTAAATTAATTATGTACGAAGATGTCCACATTAGTTATATTTTGACTTGTAATTTAGAAAACATTTATGCTGGTTTCATATAAACAATTTCCTTTACTTTTTCAATAAGTAATGAAGTAGAGGCTAGAAATGAAAGGGTAGAAACTGTTAATGAAAACTGTATTTTCAACTGTGAAAACATACCAAATTAAGGGGCATTTATGTACATCTTATGGCAACTTTTCCCATTACATGAATAGCTTAAGTACTTGTACAAAAACATTAAGTGATAAATCCATTTGAGAATAAATGCAATAATGTGCACATGTGCACGTGTGCACACATGCACACACACATGCACAAACACACAGATGTTAAATTTACAAAATGTGTCAGGTAGCTGGTGGCCATCATTGAATTAAGAATAGTGGATTACTAAGTCACCCCAGATTCCAATTATAATTATACATAAATTGTGCATTTATAAAAACCTTACAAATAATTCTATTTTTCCAGGAAGACATTATAGGTAACAATTTAACATACGTAGTAAGAAAACATTTTAAATTCTTAAAATCACAATTATATAAATTAAGCAATTCAGTAAGCTGATGGCTATCATGAGTATTCTATTTATAAAGATTTTTCCATTTTCCACGTTTGAAACAGCATGTCCTTTAAATTATTCATCTAACATGTAGTTTGTGTTGTTTTTAATTGTCTTAATGCAAGAAAGTATAACATTTTGAAATATGATCTGATAGAAAGCCATACACACATTTTGATCAGTTTATATTAAAAAATTTCTAAGGTATTTCTAAGTTTAAAGTAGATTTGGTGTCAAATTTTGTAAACTGGATAGATTATTTGGATTGTTGTTTTCTAATAAATAGATGGTTAATTACATTTAACTGAGCAATTTTACCAGGACATGATAGAAATTTAGCTGACAACATATTGTACTGTGTTTTGAGAATAATATGAGGAATCCAAATTTTACTCTCTTGGCAATGTACTGAGGCCATTTGGTGCAAAAAAGAAAGTGAGATAAAGTTTTAATGTTAACTGGGAACAAATCCTTTATATCATTTTTTCTAGAGATATTAATGTTTGCATCTGTCATGTTAATGGCACATCTCACTTTAAAAATAAAATTCTAAGTAAATATTTTAGGAACAGATCATAACATTACAATGACTGGAATGATCAAACCAAGTCTAAAATTGATCCTGATAATAGCCAGTAAATCTGAAAAGAAGGAAGAGACAAACTGTACTCGTATCCATGAAAACACCTAGTCCAACTTTAAAATTTCTATTTATAGTACTGTATTTCATTTTTGAAGAAGTAGACAGTAAAAATATTCACATTTAAACTTCTTACAGAAATTCTTATTCTATTCAGGAAAACTAATTATACTAAGTTAACAGGGAGAACTTAATGGAGGAAATTCTCCTTGGGAGACTTATTCAGGTAAGGATTTCTCTTTAGAATATAGTTTAGAAAAGTAATTAAAGAGGTCTCAGGTGTGTTTTTCATCTGTAGGTCATCCATTTCAATCTGAATTATAGTGCATGGGTAAAGTTAATGCTTTTGGTGAAATAAATAATGCCAATTCAATTCCCTTTTAACAGATTTCTGCATCAAAAAACTATAATTATTGCATGATTCTTGACAATATCAGTGAAGTGACCAAGGATTAAATGATAATTTACACACTTATCTTTAGATACATTGCTTTCATAAGAAGGTTTAATGTGGACAAGCTAACATGGGTATGTTTAATCTGGGCAAAGGAGACTCTACGTGCTTATGTGTTGTATTACTATCTTTCCATCTCAAATCACTTTAATCACCTATTTTACCAATGAAATGAAAAGCAGTCAAAGGAAAGAATTTTGTTTAATAGTTGTCAATTGTGCTTTAACATGAATCATAGTGGGAGTGTTTTTTGAGCAAACTTCATAATACCATCCCCAACACATGCACACAGGCACACACACGTTTAGTATGCAAAATGGAAGTGTTTTTAATAGTGGCTCACCATTCTTGTAGTTTTTCAGTATTTCTCTAGGTATGGTTCACAGACCCAGGGAGACTCGTAGACATGCTTAAAATTGGGTATCACTGCTTTAAGCAAATGCAGACTCCTGCTCCTCCTGGCAAATAAGAAACTTATTCCACCAAGAGGGGAAAACATAAACAAAAGATTAATCTACTTTCTGGAGATATGTGGCAACTTCCCACCCCCCATATTGGCCTTCTCCCGTCCACACCACACACTCATGGGCTACTTGTATCAATTAGTGTTTTCATGGAAAGAGAATTATAGAACATAAAACAAAAAAGAGCAAACCAGTGTCAAAAAACTATAATGCTTTCCAAAGTCAAGTAGCTATAATAATGGCACTGCTTCTAATTAACAGTGATAATCGAGAAATGAAAATTGCAATTATTTCCCCTGGGAAAACGATCAGTACTATATACTATATGAAGATGAAAATCACAAGGACTGAGAAGGTAAAAATGTACAGTCTGTATCTTATTTCTATTGGAGGGAGCAGGAAGTGGGAGGGGCATAAGAAAGCCGTGGAAGACTAAACAGGACTTCACAACATTAAGGATAGTGGAGAATGTCTCCTGCCAAGGGACCAATTCTGAATGCTTTTCTGCACATTTCCAGAATGATGCAATGAAGAAAAAGTGTAGGCAGATGTGGGTCTTCCTCATGTCCCAAACTGAACTTATTTTCATTTGCTGTCTTTTAGAACTACAAAAAGAGTGTTAAATGAATGGCCCTATGAAATGCAATGGAGTTCAATTATCTTAGAGTCATAAAAAGCAGAAATGGAAGAAGTTTTCACTATTTTATCCCTGGAGGGAAAAGGGGTGTGTTGGGCACTTTCCATGGCTGGGGGAGCAGAATTGATTGGTTAACCTTTTGGCAATAGAGAAATCTTAACCTCAGATTCCTAGCTGTAAAATTCCTATTCACAAGCAACTGAGTGCAAACCAGAACATTTTGAAAAGAGTGTTAAGAGTCACCCATCAAACATGTGGCATGTTACCAGATCAACGGTACCCCAAAGTCTTTATTCCCATGGGCAACATTACTGTAAGAAAGACAGCTGGTTAAGAATCACACATACCTTAGAAAGAATTTGACATGTATTTTCAATTGTAGTGAATTAGGTAGAATGCAAAACAGAGTAACAAGAATTAATGTTTTCACATACTACTTATTTTTGCATTTACATGTATACTTCATATGTTTAATGTAGGCAAGAATTACCGATATTATTACTGTGAGGTGAAATATGTAAAAATAATCCTAGAACAGACAGTATATATCAAGACCAACACAAATGCACTGATGGAGATGGAAAACATGAGGAAAAAAAGATTAAGTGGTTTTATTACAAAAAAAAAAGGATAAGGCTTAAATGATGTAAAACCTAAACAAAAATTAGTATATAGATATACTATCCTCCATTCAGTGTATGAGAAAATTACTAATAAAGTATCCTTATATTCCGGTGTTCTTGAATATAATTTTCTCCTCAAAAATAATTTTTCAACTATTTCAGGAAATTTTAAAATCTGAAATAGCTTTTTAAAATCTGGGTTCCAAGAAAGGAAAAAAAAAAAAAAAAAACCCAACAAAACTTATGATAAATTGATTGCTATATCTTGAAAAAAGAATTGATGACCAAATAGGTTAGAAATAATGGGACCTATGATGTCATTCATATTCTAATATTACCCCAAAATAAGGGCAAATAAAATCAGGCTCATGATTCTTTATGATAAGAAACAATACCTTCTCAGAAGGCAAATAAAAGAAATTCAAGATTAGTAACAATGGAGAAAAGAGTCAACATAATATTTAAAAATTCTAGCATTATAAGATTAAGCTTAATAATCAAAGGACTGTCAATTTTTGTACAATTGTCATACAAAGTGAAAGTTAAAACTATTCTTGGTAAATTCAGGTATCTGTACAAAGTATCATCTTCAGGTTACCTTGGCCTGAGGTAAAGACCTTTTGGTCTGAATTTATCATGAAAGGTCTCTGCAGCTTGAGTGTGTGAGGCTGCTTTCAAGTGTACAGTCCTAGGTTCCTGAACACTGTGTGTGATTAACTGTGACTAGTTTCTTTATAGTTTAAATTTGCAACGTAAGTTTAATTCATCTTCTTTTTTCCTGCTCAACAGTTCTGCCTAGCATCCCTTTTGTACACAGGCAAAATCTTTATTTTCAGAAGGAATAAATCATTATAGATTTGAGAGAAATAAGTCATCTGGGACCAGGAACTAGCAAATATACTGCCAAATTTTCACTTTAGAGGTCATAAACCTAAAGGAAAGAGAAGATTCTTCTTACCTGAGATTAAACAATGCTTTTCAAATTCTCTAGAGTTTGAGTTGATGTCTATCAATTGTTATCTGTATCACAATTTTAACACAAAGAATCACCATGTTATCTTTTAAGAGTTTAAAATTAAAGTCTTCATACTTTTTTGTTATGATTTTGGTGTATATATGTATATAACTAAACACAAAACCCCAAAAGATCCAGAAAGTGCCACAGAGCTAGGTGCTTTTCATAAGGAAAGTGAATTTTCTTTTTTTAAAAAAACATTTCCTTAGTATTTCCTGAACAGTCAGTTACACAATTAGATTTAACCTGCTAAAGTCAATGGCCACATGAAGCAAAGTTACTATGGAAAATTTGTTTCTGAATAAAATCCCTACATCCCAGATACAGAACAGGTACTCTACTGCCAGTGAATAGGTATGCACAGAAGTGACTGATACCAGACAATTGTGGTGCTGGCAAGCAAGATACCTGAACAGAAAAGCAGCACTCCAGAGGCCCTCAGATGTGTGGCTATAACTCTTTTCTCCCTTCCTTGTGCTGAAAGTCTCAATCATTTCAATGTATCTGCTTGCACTGTCCATGTGGATATGTTCACAAAAAGTCTGAATAAAAATCAGATACCATTTCACATTGGCAGGTTATTAAAAATTTACTTCTAATACTCCTGTTGAAAAGTAAAAAATTCAAGCAAATGGTTTTGTTATCACTCTGGGCTTTATCTTGTTAAAGATAAAACATGTTGCTAAAATTATGACAGTCCCTGTCACTTTATTGCTATGGTCTAAGTAATTTGGACTAATTAATGATTCCTGTATCATCTAAGACAAACAAATCAAGAACTCCACTTGTTGCAGTTATTGCAGAAATATAGTGTGAGGCCCCAGATGAGCTTTTGTTGATTTGAAGTGTTTTTCTCAAATAAAAAGTACAAAATTACTTTTCACTGAAGGTAACTGAGAAATTGTTTGATTTGACACAAAGATGACACACTTTCTTCCGTTTTTGAGAGAGTACACTTTGTGATTCACAGGATAACTTGCATCAGACGCAATTTAATGAAAGCTCTCAAATAAGCAATTTTATTCCTATCCATGATTGCAGACATTTACAAAACCATAACATCTGAGTTCACCTTAAAAAATAACTTATATAAAGCAGTGATATACACAGCACAAAATAGTTCAGGAAGGGGACAGGAGCAACTTTTAATAATTAAAATGTAAACGTGAAAAAAAGGATGGAATAAAAGTCCCTACTTATTTCTACTTAAGATGTCATGTGATAATATTTTACAATGTCCTGTGGGTCAGTGTATGTATGTGTATATGTCCATATAGTATACACATATACAATACATTCTCTTTCCCACACATATACATACACAGATAATTATTTGCAGTTCAGTTTAGGGCAATTCTAAAATGCCGCTCCGTACAGTTGCTTGAATCACGTTTGGACCCGCTTTCTTCACAAAGTAGGGGAGAGAGCAGGAAATAAAAAGGTTGGTTTGGTGTGACTGAGATTCCTTTGTTTAACTGTACACTGTGATGAATAATTTTCTTCCGTAGTAGTTCTGTGAAGGGCTGACTCACTGTGGTTTTCATGAGACTTGGTAATGGATCACACACTCATTGTCATGCTAGGGGAGTACTAGAAGGAAAGAAGAATCCATATTTTAACAATTCTTTTATAGACCACCAAGGTTTTTCTTGCTACAATAGAAATGGTGTATTTTAGTTTCTTACAATCTTCTATGCTCAAGCTTTTAATCTCACACACATAAGAAACTATACAAAGAGTGAACTTATATAGATTTAACATAGTACTGAAATTTTATTTTATTTTATTTTATTTCTGGCAGCTGGCTGCTTCTGGGATCTGAACCCCTGACCTTGGTGCTTGTTGTTATAACACCACGCTCTGAGCAATTGAGCTAAGTGGCCAGGCTTAGTCCTGAAATTTTTAATATTTCTCCTAGAAAGCAATCTTTGATTCCCTCCATGGACCTAGGACACTGATAATTACCCAGTCCCTCAGCCTTCTCCTTTCAGCCAGATTTATGTTTTTCGGGCGCTTGTAACAATTTGGGTAAATTGAGCCCAAAACTGAATCATAATGAAATAAGTATAAGGATGAGTTTTTGCTATCTACCAGCTGTGTAAACTGGAGAGGTTGCCTACTCTCTCTCGACTTTAGTTTCCTCACCTGTAAAATGGATTTAATAATAGTATCTATCTGAAAGGGGTTTTTGGAGGATTAAATATAAAATCCTTAAAACCATGTATTTATCGAATACATAAAAAGTGCTCAGTAAATGTCAGGTTAATAGTGTAGAAAAACAAAACAAAACAAAAACAAATCCCAGCTGGCACCAAGAAGTTCTCATGAAAGCATTAAGAATCTGATATATACCTTAGCATTTAAGCCTCTTGTCCCTAACCTGTGACTCCAATCTCAATCCACAATCATTTTTGAGTGGGAGTGAGAACATTGTTGGTACATGCTTACTTGTCAGTTTGATGAGGCTGACAAATGATAAAAGGTGAGGCTCTTAGAAATTTGGAAAAAGTGGTCTCAAAAATAATTTGGAGAGGAGTAAAGAACAATTATTTTAATAATTATGCTAATCTACCCTCATATTCTTGGGGAATAGGCTGTGACAGAAAAGTTCCAGAGCGGCACTGTCCAACAGAACTTTCTCCAGTGATGGACCTCTTCCACAATCTGTGCTATTCAACATAGAAGTCACTAGCCACATGTGGCTACTAAGCACAAGAGATGTGGCCAGTGCAACCAAGGAACTAAATTTTTCATGTTATTTAATTTTAATTTTAGCTAGTGGCTACTATTTTGGACAGCACAATTCTAGACTGTCAGAGCTGTGGGAGAAGCATCCACTCCTTAGTGGTAATGGTCTTTAAATGAAGACAGTTTCTAAATTAAAGTATAAATGTGGACCCTTAAATATTTTAAATGTTGTATTGGGAAACCTGTGAGAACTAGGACAAAAGGAGATTCCTTTCAACATGCTAATAATGATGATTGTGCTTTGTAGAAAGAGGTGGATAAAAGTCAAACAGACTGGTCTCAGGCTGCAGGAAGCTTAACCAGGAATGGTGATGATCCTGGGGTGGAGGAGCATGAACTTTATGGAGAGGTAGCAGAAGGAGAACAGAATGAAGTGAATTCCAGACAAGCCGAGATAGACTGCAGAAGCCAGGAAAGAGATGTGTGCTGGAGTAAGGATGGATTACAGTGAGAAAGAAGGATTCCCCAGGGAAGAGTACAGGGTAACAATGGCTCAGGGGACAGACATCTGAACTAAAAGTCATTAGGGCTCAAACCAAAAAAACGCTTTGTTTCCGAATAAAGGAGGATGACCTGTCCTGGAAAAAGGGTCACTGGACCACAGGGGAGGATTATTAATTCTTTAAACACAGGTCACATTAAGGAGAATCTACTTATTAACTACTTAATAGCCTAAAGTTTCATTTTAGTACTGGACAGCTAAGTTACCTACTTGAACTGACTCTGTATGTTGGATTATCGTGAGTATAGGGTGTGAATGGGTCGAATGTGTCCCCCCAAAGTTAATGTGTTAAGAGGGTGGAAGTTCTGATTATGGCATTAGAAGGGTCGGGCCTATAAGAGGTGATCAGATCATGGGGACTATGCTCTCATGAATGGATTAACCCATTCATGGAGTAATGAGATATCATGAGTTCGGACTGACGGCTTTGTAAGGAGAAGATGAGAGAGCTCTTGCAATTCTTTTGCCATATGACACCCTGTGTCACTGTATAGTCACCACCAATGTGCCAGAATGGGAACAAATCCCCATTTCATCACAAGATACCATGCAAAGTCTCACATTATAAATAATGACAGCAAGCTTCAATTAACTATTAGCAGCCTTTGACTAAACAGAATTATATTTTGGAACTGTACTTGACTTTTAGGGGCAAGAATAAACAAAAAAAAAATGGATACCAAAGTTTTATTAGGAGTAGAAAAACTCAGAAATATGGCAAAATGGGAAGAGAAAATTTCATCTATGCTTTCTACATCTAGTTATTTACAATAAGAATCAGTGATTCAACCAGTGCTGTCCAATAGAACTTTTTGTGATAATAGAAATGTTCTATTCTGTCCTGTACAGTACAAAAGCTACCAGCCACACATGGCTACTGGGCTCTTGAAATGTAGCTAGTGCAACTTAGACACTAAAAATCTAGTTGTATTTAATTTTACATAATTTAAATTTAAATAGCACAGGTAGATAATCGATTGTTATTTTAAAACAAAGATTTTACTGAGTTTACTGTGCTAACAACATAAAACAGTAAAAGCTACTAAGTCATTTCAAAAGGACCTCATAGAAAATATTTGAAAAAAGTTTCTGGGTAAGTCACAGACCATCTCATTTAATGCACATCTTGAATAGTCAAGATCTTTAAAATTCTTGAATCCTTTTTCATAAGTATTACTCCATTCATTCATGTATCATGTAACAGTAGGGAATATTGTTAAAAATATACAATAGTCTTAATTGTAATACACCTTGTTAAAAGTATGTATATATGTAAGCGTGTACATATGCACAAACTCTGTTATCCAGCATTTTTATTGGTTGCTACCATCTCTTAACACTAGCAATTTTTAACATTTTTAAACTGTGATATTTCAAATGTCTTAAGCAAATCTTGCAAGAAATTGTTAATTTGTTACTGATTCATTGGGAAATTAAGAGAGTTAGTTTGCCTAGGGAAGAAACTGAGTGAAAAAACATGGTACAATAACAGAGAAAATAATGGCTAGATTTAGTCAGAAAAGATCAGTTCCATCCCATACCACTCAGAAAAACAAGCAAGAATTTAATCAAGTTTAATTTTTAAGTAGTACAAATAACTGTAAAATGATGCACTAACTGTATTTGGTTCAGTAAAATAGGTTGTATTTAGGTTTGAGTATCTATATAAGCAGTGTGCTATTTGCACTCCTTAGGCTATAAACCCCTCATATTCGGTATTAAAACTGCTTCAACTAAATGACAAAATTTCTAGGAAAACTCACAGAATGTCCAAGCAAAAAGGAATTTTCCTATTGATTACTATTCTTCAAAGTGGTAGAGAAGTGGCTTACACTTTCCCAGAAGTAAAGGAAGAGTAGTTGTTAAATGGGGCATCATATTTAGAGACATAAAATATTCATGGTGTACTGTACTGAGACCACACTTCAATGTTTCTGTTGTACTGCTGCAACAGTATGCCATGACATATTGTAATGTTTGTGCCAAAATGCTGTGATATCAGATTGCCCTGTTTCAAAACTATTCTGAGATGCTGGTTGCCTTCAATCAGATGGTAAAGTAGCTCTTACAAAACTGTTAACAGAATTACTGTTTGGATTAGCAAGAAAAGTAAAATCTAAAGATAATATTTTAAACATATACCAACTTATTTTACCTTTATATGTAAAATATACTTTGGGATGGCATGCGTTGATATAAACTTGTGATTTTTCCCTTATTATACCTTTCAAGTACCATATAATTCATCAGAGATATTCATTAAATCTTTGAACAATGTGTATAAATTCCTGTTTATATACTTGAAGAACACTTTAGATCTCAGTACAGTTCTATGTCTAAGCATCTTAAAGAACAGTTTTGTAACTCTGAGCTAAACTAAATTGAGATAAATTTAGTGTTTCTGTGACTATGTAAAAAAATTGGGGCTGATGTGATTTTACAATAGCAGAAAATGACAAAGGGGAGTAAAGGCAATGAGAGATGATCTACCACACTGTTTGTAACTCCTATTTGATACCAGGATTTTAATGTTAATCAATTAATTATAGTCCAGGGCCATGGGGAAAATATTTTGCTAAATTAATTCAGAAAATAAAAACAACTGCTTTCTTTACTTGAGAAACGTGAAAAGCTCTTTTTTGAACTAAGCCTTTTTGTACTCTGTACTTTCAAAACCAAACATTTTACAGAGTTTGAGCACTAGGGGGCATCTTTGTTACTTGAAATAAAGAGTCTTGTTAGTGATTAAAAAAAAGCTAAATAGTGAAACACTTTTACACTTTTTGATTTACATTTTGCTCTCAAGCATGTTGCCACTGCAAGGTTTATGACTTCGGATTGGGCATTTTTGTTTCTGTATTAATTAAATGAAGTAGAGTGATTAAAAAAAAGCTAAATAGTGAAACACTTTTACACTTTTTGATTTACATTTTGCTCTCAAGCATGTTGGCACTGCAAGGTTTATGACTTCGGATTGGGCATTTTTGTTTCTGTATTAATTAAATGAAGTAGCATGTGTGAAGTGACTGGGATAGTATCTGGTACATAATAAGCACTCAACAGATGTTCACTCCCTTACCAGGCCTCCTCCTGTGGTTTAACTTCAAGATAAAAATGAACAAATCCTCATAAGGCAGGCTGCTCAAAAATATGCACTTTTCAGAGTTATGTGCATTAAAAAATAATTTTTTTTTTTTTTTTACTTTTTAATGAATTTCACATTTTCACTTACTGGAAAATATTTCTTTTAAACAAATCCTCATAAGGCAGGCTGCTCAAAAATATGCACTTTTCAGAGTTATGTGCATTAAAAAATAATTTTTTTTTTTTTTACTTTTTAATGAATTTCACATTTTCACTTACTGGAAAATATTTCTTTTTGAATTCATTAAATAGTTCTGCTTTTCCTTGATTACAGTAAAGCTAACTTACTGGAGATATCGAGCTTATTTACTTCTTTAAAGCTTTAACATTTGTCAGCACTCAATCTCTTTGTCTTTCTCTCTCCTCTCATTGCTTGATCTTAAAAAAAGGTCTAAACAAAAGTGTGTGGAAATATGATAGAGAAAGCCATAGATAACAGTGACATCATTCATAACAAGTTAGCTCTCCTCACTAGACAGCCCCCCCAAAAAAAAAAAAAAAAAAAAATGGAGTGGCCAGTGGGGACCTGCTTCTAAGGTTGTACTACTCTCCAGGATGGTGGTGCAGCTTCTCAGTTCACCATCCAATTATTTTCCCTTTTATGACTTTTCTGGTGGGGACAGGAGAGAGGAAGAGAGGGGAAAGCAGGGAGCTTTTGTTTTCTGCTAACTACCAGCAGGATGGCATTGAACCTTCTTCTTGGGTTCAAGGGCAGTCAGGCTGGGTCAGGAGTCTGGTGGGAGAAACCCCACTCCAGCTGCTCTCTTTAGAATTCTAAACACACATATTCACAAAAGGGTCTGCTGTTTTGCATGTGCTCAGTCCAGTTGGAATTAAAGGGTGAGAATGCTGCTTATCCTGTGCAGAGAAGTTCTTCAAGTCCTGTTATATCTGATTCTTTGCTCCCCATAAAGAGCTTTCTGATGCCAATTCTGAATTGGTACCTTTCTGACTGTTAAGCAAGGCAGCAGTCGCCAATGACAAATCTGGGAAGGTGAGGGGAAGAGTTCCTCTTGTTCCTGCTCATAAAATTAAAGTCATACGGAACCTTTTTGAAAAAGTTTTTCCCAGCTCCAAATTAATCATTTCTTTTTACTTTAAAACACCTGGATTATATCTATTACAGTACTTATTAATCTGACATATGTTTTAGCTAGCTAGGGAAGCATCTGTTTTTCCTATTGGATTGCATTTTTTGAGTGTAGGTATGTGTTATATTTACCTCAGAATAGCTTGTCTTTAATCTAGTGCTTTGAATATAGTAGGCTCAATAAATGTTGAACTGAATTGAATTATCATATACCTCACGGAATCATACCATTTTATTGCTGGAAGAACTAGCAGAAAAGAAAATAAATGCCTCTAATTTAATAAAGTGCACATAGGAAAATTAACTAATTTGTCCATAGTGAAGCAAACCAGTGAAAGAACAAGGATCTAAAAAATAATTCCCATAATTCTAAGCATTATGACTTAAACTATGTAGTTCCTCATATTTTTCCTATTTCCTCATAACTGACAAGGTAAGCTTTTGACTTTCTATATGAATTTTTTATATACCTTTTTGGTCCTTACTAATCTGATATATCCTGCGAATAAAACAAACTAAAGATTAGCATAATTTTATTTCTACTTTTAACCAAAATAAAATCTAAAAACAGGGGAAGTCTTGTCCCATGCAGAGACCCTAGGTCAGCAGTAAAATGAGTTCAAAGCTTCAAATGAAGAGTTTCAAAATTATTTCTTGCTCAATTGAGGATTACTGAGGTAAACTCATAAGCATCTTTCTCAGAATACAGAATTAATCTTAAATTTAGAAGTCTTTTTGAAATTAAATATGAAATTCTTTTCATCCCTTTTGCAATGTCATCCATTTAATCAATGAAATAAAAATATAATGGGGATGGAGAGAAAAATATAATGGGGATGGAGAGAAAAGGAAAGCACCTGAAGAAATTCTGCAGCTCACATTAAGATACTTCGTTTTTCTAGAAGGAAAGCACCTGAAGAAATTCTGCAGCTCACATTAAGATACTTCACATATATATATATATTCTTTTTTAAAGATGACTGGTAAGGGGATCTCAACCCTTGGCCTGGTGTTGTCAGCACCACGCTCAGCCAGTGAGCAAACCGGCCATCCCTATATAGGATACGAACCCGTAATAACTTCGTATAGCATACATTATACGAAGTTATACGAATAACTTGCATCAGACGCAATTTAATGAAAGCTCTCAAATAAGCAATTTTATTCCTATCCATGATTGCAGACATTTACAAAACCATAACATCTGAGTTCACCTTAAAAAATAACTTATATAAAGCAGTGATATACACAGCACAAAGACGGGCCGGCCTCACATTTATATTTTTGAGTTTGAAAAAAAATAATATGAGAAGATCTGATCATATCATATCTGATAAACTATCAAAGGAATCTTGTCAGTCTGCAGCTTTCTGATCTCAGAAACTTTGGTTCCAGTTAGAGATCCCACACGATTCATGAGGGAGCTAACTGACAACTATAGGTCTCCACCATCATATCTCAGGTGTGCTGGCTGAATTCTAGCTCAGTTGTACACACTGGGAGAATGACTGGCAGTCTGTTCATTTTGGGAGCTAGCAGAGTCAAAACAGCACTCTACAGAAGTCATTATTGGCAGCCTGTGAGAAATCAATTCAAAATCCAGTTCTGAAGGGCTTAGAATAATATTATTTTATTCAAATTATAGGCAGAGCAAAAGTTACTACAAGTGTGCACTGTTTTAACTTGAAAATTAAAAAAATTTAGAACGCAAAAAAGTTTGAATAGGTTTGGAACAATTTTTGAGGACAGAAGAAGGGACAATAACTTACTAATTAAGAAAGGATATGGAAGAATACTTGCAGGATAAAATCAGAGACCAGAGTCTAAGAGAGTTAAAAGTGATAGCCAGAAGAAATGGTGTGTGGTGTACTGTGTATGCATATATATGCATATGTATAACATTCATATATGACATCATAGCTTAGGTAAGAGGAAAACTTTCCAGATTGAGTGTTCTATGTGGATTTTTTTTTACTTCTTGGTATTGACCTAGGGTTTCATTTTGGGAAGCAGCCACTCTGTGCAAAAGTAGATATGGTATTAGCTACTGCTTCAAATTCTGATGGTATCACCTCTAGTAAAGGTTGAGCTAGGCAAAGTGATTCTGTCTGTAGTTTGGTAATAAATATCAATGATAGCAATACATGTGTGGGGGCACAGATTCTATAAAAGAAACTTGCTTAGATTTTGATATCTTGTATGCTATATTCCAATTTGGTGGTTCTTAGCAGAGAATGTACACAATATCACTAACCAAGCTTTTTCACATTCAAGTATGCCAAACCCCACTTCTAGAAATTCTGATTCACTAAGTCTAGGGAGGGTTCTGGGAAACTGTATTTTAAAAAACTCCATAGGTGTTTCTAATGTGAAATAATAGTTAAAAAATAATTGCATTATGTAATAACTCCTTGAGAAAAAGTATTGTATTGTCTTTTTGGTCTCTCTTGTGCTTAGCATATTGCCTTGGCACTTGTTAAATTCTTAGCAGTTGCTTATACCATAGTCACACTCAAAATATAACCTTGGTATCTAGGTCAGTTTAATAGACCACCAATATGGTCTTTGGTCCAGTGAGGTTTAGTATATGAAGCAAAGACATACTTTTGATTATTTTCGAGCATTAAGGACAGCACTAAGAACAGAACTGGTTTTGCAGAGACCTGAGACATCTTAGTAACATGAAAACCTATAAAAAGTATCAAATAGGCAATCTCTTTCCAGTTTGCTCCTTTACAGGGGATGTTCTCTATGAGAAATGTAGTTATGTGGTTTTTGTAACTATGTACATAAATTAGGGGTAAAAAAGAAAAAGTTTGTTCTTAAAATTTTTTTCAAAGAAATTCCATTTACAGGTTCTTCTAACATTTAAAGAATCAACTCTAGACAAACAGCAATAATAATAGCTTTATGCATTTATCATTATAGAAGAGCTTCAGAAATAAGATCTACATAAAATAATATAGTCAAGGGAATACTTACACTCTCACTCTGAAAAGGATTTAAGAAATTTCCCCCCATTTCACCATCATCCCTTGGAGTGCCCGGTTGATTACTGAGGCTCATATTATTGGGAGAATTCTGTAAACAAGATTTAGAAAACAAGACATTGTTGAGATTTTAATTTCCCTCTTGCATTACACTGTTTCAAAAATGGAATCTACAGCAGCATCTCTAAGGACAAAGCAGACTTATAATTTTAATCTTAGACTTCTACGATGTATTCTACTTCATTCTTTGTACCTTGACAAGTACTAATGCTTTCCCAAATGAAAATCAGAAAACAAACAAAAACTCTAAAATAATCCACCACAACTATTTTCTTAGTCTCAGAATCAATATTTATTCAATTCCCCACCCTCAGCTTATAGCGTTTCTAGAACTCTGGAGGGTTTAAAAAACATTCCCAGCAGGGGTGTGATGAAGAGAGCCTACCCACTGATAAGGCATGATGGAACAATAACTCCCTTGGTAATTTTACTAATCAAACTTTAAAAGGTCACTGTTTTAATAAACATTTCCCTTTAATTCTACATGCAGTTTACAGATAACACTACTACAACTATTGTTTTACATGAACCAAAAGGAAGAAAGGAAGATAATTAACTATAGTTAAGAACAAGAGACACCTTAGGACTTGAGAATTCATTAAATACTTTTAGAGGAAAAGGAGGCTCAAAGTAAACTGCTTTAAAACCTTTTCATACCATCAGTTTAAGAGTAGATGTACTTTGAAAGTTTCCTTTAAGATAAAAAGGCTGCTATTAGCAATCTAATCAAACACTAAGGAGTACACTGCTTCATATTCTATTTAAATTTGCTAGTTTCATTATTACTGTGCAGTTTTAGCCATGTCAGGATATATGATACTCCACATCAATAGAAAATATAGAATGGCACTGGCATATAATACATTTTTATATAGTATTACAATGGTGACTGAGAGAACTCTTTCAAGGCCCAATTTATTGACTTGTAAAAAAATCTTCAAGGTTAAACATTTTTATTTCCTGGCATATAATACATTTTTATATAGTATTACAATGGTGACTGAGAGGACTCTTTCAAGGCCCAATTTATTGACTTGTAAAAAAATCTTCAAGGTTAAACATTTTTATTTGTTATTTCAAAGGAAGAGAGATTTTAGATTTTTTCCCCTAAGCCATTGCTATTTTATATTCTGTTTTGGAATAAATGTTTAGATTTTTTAAAAGAAAATTGCTCAGAGGATTTTGACTTAACTAAAACAAGTTATATCATAAACATTAAAATTTTATGAATGAGTTATTCCCAGAAGAATATGTACTTTTTAAGAATATGGTTAAACTGTGAAGCAGAGACAGGTAGATGAGCTGGTGGAAATACAGTCTGTATCTTGTCTTGCTATGCACCCCATGGGGAGGATGTGAGAACAAGGATCCTCTGAAGTCCATAGGAGCTCTGTATGTCAATGAACCCCAAGGGCTCAAGAATCATACTTTAATAGCATAAAGAAAATTCATTTTTTTGGATAAATTTTTCTCTGAAAATGTTACCCAAGTATATAGGAAAGCAACTGTACTTTGAAATGAATATAGATAATCTGATTTCCTGAAAAAAATTAAGTAAAATTTAACTAAGTGTGCTCCCTAAGAATTTATTCATTATTAAAGTTATTAATTAAATAAGAAACTGTGCTTTAAAAGCAGGAATGATGGGCCGGCCCGGTGGCGCACTGCTACAGTGCGCTGCTTGGGAAGCGCGGCGGCGCTCAATGTTGATTTAGCTCAAAAAGAAAATGATTTATAAAAAATATTGTATTAAGTGAAACAAGTCAGGCACAGAAAGAGAAATACCACATGTTCTCACTTATTGGTGGGAGCTAAAAATAAATAAATAAATTCACACACACACACACACACACACACACACACAGACGGGGGGGGGGGGAAGAAGACTTAACAACTACAATTCCTTGAAGTTGATACGACAAGCGGGGAGAGGGAGGAGGGAGGGGGGTTTCGGTAATGGGCCACAATAATCAACCTCATTGTATATCGACAAAATAAAATTAAGAGAAAAAAAATAAAAACAATAAAAATAAAAAAATAAAAAAAATATTGTAAGATTTACCAAAGTCTATAAATCCTCTTGATAAAGGCAGATTTCTGTCATTTTACACATAATGGAGAAATTGGCAATATCAGAATAAAAAAATAATCTAACATACATAAAAAGAAATTCGAGGATGCACTTGGGAACTGCATACTTTAACACAGTCAAATAAATGTACAAATGAGCCCTCTCCATTCTTGTGTAACATTCACACCCCAGTAGCACATGAGGTACCTTGAAGCGAACAGTGTATCTCTGACTGAGTTGGGGTGCTTTAAATCTCTGCTGTACTTTTGCCACATATCATTTCTTGATTTATAATTATGAAAGTTTCACTAACTTCAAATCTGATTCCTGACTCCAAGTATTGATTTTTAAATATTTAGAATTTGAAAGTAAGATAGTATTGTAAATATTTAAATATTTACAAAACACTTCTAGTGTTATTATTTCTGTTTTCCCTGAAATCTCTTCATAGCATGGTGGCTCAGCATTACTCTTTTTTTGGGTGATGGGGGTGTGAGTATATAAGGACGTTGAGAAGAAGATTAAAAGGACATATTCAACACACAAAACTGAGGTAATATCGGAACTCTGGAACCTATTCCTATCCTGCTCAGTAGACCACATTTGAAAACCTTGATGTGCCAGGACAAAATTTTTTTTTTACCTGAATTTAAATTTAATCTCTGCAAAATGTTGTGAAAATAACAAAAGTTCCTCAATATGGAGTCTTATGGAAACTGTGCTGTCCATGATCACTGAGTGACAAGATGAAGACATAGGCTAATGAGCACACTCAATAATGGCATCTGAGGAACAGCTAAGACAGTGGTACCAAAACCCGTCCAGAACAGGTTATGGGGATGGGTGACAATAAACTGTGTGCATGCTTCATTTAACTATTGCTACATTTGTGTGTCATCTCCAGTAGGATTGATCATCAAGGCAAGAATATGGTGCACAAAAAGGGTGTAGGTTGGTCAACATCGACTGAGCACATAATTAGGAAATTAGCGCAAAAGAATATAAGGAGAGATTACTTTTAGCTACATTAGGCACATTGGTTACATTTCTTATCTCACTTAATGTAAAGTGGATTCCTAATGATTTCTCATTGAAATTCTTGCAAAATTGCCCTCGCTGATGACAGAAATGAGCAGGAGCTCTGTTGTGGTGGAGAAAGCCGCTTTGGTGAAGCTTTCCTGGGTGTTTTTCTGCTAAAGCTTTGGCTTTCTCAAAACACTCTCATAATAAGCAGATGTTATCATTCTTTGCCCTCCGGAAAGTCAACAAGCAAAATGCCTTAAGCATTCTGAAAAACTTTTTCCATGACTTTTGCTCTTAATTGGTCTGCATTTGCTTTAATAAAGGACCATGTCCACCTCTTGGTAGCCATGGCTTTGATTGTGCTTTGTCTTCGGGATCACACTGGTAAAGCCATGTTTCATCTCCTGCTACAGTCCTTTGAATAAATGCTTCCAGATCTTGATGTCGCTTGTTTAAAAATTTCATTGAAAGCTCTACTCTTGTCTGCCCCTAATGTGGGGGCAACAGTTTTGGCACCCATTGAATGGAAAGTTTGCTCAATTTAAATTTTCCAGTCCGAATTGTGAAAGCTGAATGAACTGAGATGTCTATGGTGCTGGCTACTGTTTCTGCTGTTAGTTGTTGGTCCTTAGCAATTAGGGCAAAAACAAGGTTAAATTTTTCCTTGCAAATTGATGTGGATGGTCTGCTGCTGCATGTTTCATCTTCAGTATTGCCTTGTCCCTTCTTAAAATGAGTTATCCCTTTGTAAACTGCTGATTTCTTTGGGGTAGTGTCTCAATAAACTTTTTGTAAACCATCAATGATTTCACCATTCTTCCACCCAAGTTTCACCATAAATTTGATGTTTGTTCTTGCTTCAACTTTAGAATTCAAGTTGCTCTGATTGGAGTTCTTCTCAAACTGATGTCTTATCCTTCTTAGTGCCTCAAACCAGAGGAAAAATGTGGACACATAGTATTGGAAGGCTCACTTTCCTACTTGTGCTAATATAATTTTCCTCTGTTTTATTACTCTATTTTGGGAACTAGAATAATGATTGCAGTTATCAACACTGATTAGCTAAGGTTTGAAAGACCAGCTGATTGTGTAAATACAATGCTCTTATGATGTATAATAGCCACTTTTCATTTTCAAATTTACCTCTTCTCATGTTGCTTTAGAATCTGCTATGATCTGAATGTACCCCAACTCATGTTGGAGCTTAATCCCCAATATAGTGTTTGAAAGGTGGGTCATTTAAGACGTGATTGGACTATAATGGCTATGTGCTGGTTAATCCATTCATGAATTAATGCATTATAATGGGAGTGGCACTAGGGGTTTATGAGAAGAGGAAGCACCATGGTAGCACACTCTTGCTCAGTGCTTGGTATGTGATACTCTGTATCATCAAGGGACTCTGTAGAGAGTTTCCACCAAGAAGAAAGCCCTCACCAGATGTGCCCCCATACCTCAGACTTCCTAGCCTCCAAAACTGCAAGAAATAAACCTCTTTTTTAATACATTACCCAGTTTCAGGTACTCTGTTCTAAATAACAGAAAACTAACCAATACAGAATTGGTATTGAGAAGTGGGGTGTTGCTGATAACCAACACCTGATAATGTGGAAGTGGTTTTGGAACTAGGTAATAGGAAGAGGCTAGAAGAATTTGGAGGAACAGGATAGAAAAAGCCTAGACTCTGGTGAGGGCTTAGGTGACAAGAAGACTAGGAGAATTTTGGAAATTCTTAGAGATTGGTTAAGGGGTGGTGACCAGAATGCTGATAGAAATGTGTATGATAAAGTCCATTCTGAGGAGGTCTCGGATGGAATTGAGAAGGAGCTTATTGGAAATTGGAGCAAAGGTCACCCTTATTATATAGTTGCAAAGAACTTGGCTGGATTGTGTCCATGCCTGAAGGCTTTATGAAAAGCAGAATTTAAGAGTAATGAAGTAGAATACCTGGATGAAGAAATACCTAACCAACAAAGCATTCAGACAGCTGTGTGTCTACTTCTAACAACTTACACTGAATTGCAGCAGCAAAGGCATGATGCAAAGACAGAATTTACAATTAAGGGGGAAGGAGAATGTAAAAATTTGGGAAATTCACAGCCTGCCTACGTAAGGAGGGAAAAGTCATGTTTGGGAGAGATTCGAAGGCTGCTGCTGAGCAACCACAGATTATTATTAGATTGCTAACGAGATTAGTATGAAGAGAAGAGATCACTAAGAGAATGGAAGAAAGATCCTGAAGGCATTTCAGAGATCTTCAAGCCTGCCTCTCCCACCATAGGCCTAGAGGCCTGGAAAGACAGATGGTTTCAAGGAACAGGACTGATGCACTCCATGGGCCACCTCTGGATCCTGTCCAGGTCACACATCCCAGCTGCTTTGGCTGTTCCAGCTGTGGCTACATTGGCTCCAGGAGCTTCTGGACCATTTACTTCAGAAGATACGAGCTGAAAGCCTTGGTGGTGTCCATGTGGTGTTAAGTCTGCAAGCTTGCAGAATGAAAGTGCTGTGAAGGCATAGTGACCTCCATCAAGATTTCAAAGAATGCATGGAAAAGCTAGATAGGCCCAGAAAGAGATCTGTCACAGGTGCAGAGTACCAGAGAGCCTCCATTAGAGCCATGTTGAGTGGAAATGTGTGGTTGGAGTTGCAGTAGAGAACCCCCACAAGACTCATGCCTGGTGAAGCTGTGGGAACGGGACCACCACTAGGACTTGAGAACTGTAGAGCTATGAGAGTGCAATGCCAGCCTGGGAGAGGTGAAGCAGGGGCTGAGCCCAGGAGAGCCATAGGGGTGGGGCTGCCAGAGGACTTGGGGACTTCACCCCCACACGAGTGCAGAGGATGCTGGATATAAAGTCAAGGAAGACTATTCTCTAGGTTTAAGACTTAATGCCTACTCTGTTGGGTTTTGAACTTGCTTAGGACATGTTATCCCTTCCTTTTGGCTTATTTCTCCCTTTTGGAATGAGAATATCTGTCTTATGACTATCCCACTATTATGTTTTGGAAGTTGGTAACTTGTTTTTATCTCACAGGCTCATATATGAGACTGAACTTTGGACTTTTGAACTGGTACTAGAATGAGTTAAGACTTTGGGATTACTGGGATGGAATGAATGTATCTGTATGTGGGAAGGACATGAGCTTTGGGGGACCAGGGCAGAATGCTGTGGCTTGAATGTCCCCCCAAGCTCATGTTGAAGCTTAATCCCCAATATGGTATTTGAAAAATGAGGCCTGTAAGAGGTAATCAGAGCACGATGGCCAAGTGCTCATGGGTGGATTAATCCATTCATGGATTAACGGGTTAATGGATTCATATGTTGTCATAGAAGTGACACTAGGAGCTTTATAAGGAGAGGAAGAAGCTTGTTAGCATGCTATTGCTCATTCCTTGCTATATGATACCTTGCACTGCCACCGGACATTGTAGAGAGTTCCCACCAAGAAGAAAGCCCTTACCATATGTGCCCCTCAAACCTTGGACTTTCCAGTCTCCAAAACTGTAAGAAATAACCTCTTTTCTTATACATTACCCAGTTTCAGTACTATGTTATAAGCAAAAGAAAACTGCCTAATACATCTTTACATTTTCAAAATATCATCTAAACTCTGCCAATTTGTTTTATAAATATGTAACATCATAATGTGATTAAATGGGCTATTACTTGGGTGCCAATTAGTAATGTATAGTATGTTCTCTAAATAAATCTTAATATGTTTAGGAACACTCTTAAAAGACTCATTTTACCCTTTCCAACAGATTGCATACATTAATATTTTGATTTCCATGGAGAGAACAGGGGTAAGGGAGGGATTGTAAAGGGCCATGAAAAATGATTACATTGTATAATGTTGAATATACTAATTATTCATATTTGAGCATCACATGTTACACACAGGCATTGATATTCAACTCTGTAGTCCAGAGATATGTACACTCAACTATGTTACAACAAAAAAATTTTTTTAAAAATATTTTTAAATTTCCAATTAACTGTACTTGAACTTCTACTTGCAAACTCTTGTTCAAGAGCAAAATTCGTAAGATTACTCTAATAATTTTAATGAGAGTTCCATGTGGAATAAAATATAGATTAAAAACAACATAGAGAATATACAGTACTCACCTTGGAAATACTGTCCATATCTCCTGAGCCTTAAGCAAAATAAGAAAAGAAAGCCTTTATTAGGTTAAGATTTCACTTATAAATTAAATACTCCTTTAATTTAAATAAATGCAGTACACTACATGTATTTTCCAGAGTACATCTCTTGAGTTTTGGAATCTTAAAAGATTCCTTTTCTTTTATATACTGTATGGTGAATTGGTATCATCTGAGGGTAAATGCAAGGAATTCTACATTTAGTTTCCAATCATCTATTTTTTTTTTAATGGCAGAATGAAGAAAACCACTGTTGTCATAGATTCCTGAAAGTGAAATATTAGAGAGATCATTTATATATCCTATGCAATTAAAATTTTTAAAATGTATACACAATATATAAGAGATATAAACCTCTATATATTTTCTGAAATGCTGCTGTAAATCTGATAAAATATACAATGGACATTCCTACAATATTTGACAATACTCGGACCATATTTTACTATAATGCTCAAATGCAAAGTATTCCTAACAATATTAAAAAATTGAAAGCAATCAATATTCATGGTAATATATTAAAAAATCATCTCTTCAAAATACAATATTATATTTTTATTTTTATTCTTGGGAGAAATGAACAATCAATATTAATTTCTTATGTAAGAAATGGAATTGTCGCCTGCACCGCACTCAAATGATTGACAAAATAAAAATTAAAAAAAAAAAAAAGAAATGGAATTGTACACTAGGTAACAGCAATAATCAGATCTTTGCCATAATATTAACTTTATTTTAAACTATTTTATTTCTAACAATTAATTTTCCTAGCATAAAAATAGTTATAAGATTTTAATAGCACAGCACTCAGTCAACATCACAAATAAAGTAAGGGATTATTAACATGATAAATTTGTAAATAAACAGACAACAAATTGTTAAATACTGAATGCATATATGCAATTATGTATACATATAAATAAGTACAATAATATTCAGCATAGAAATAAGCCAGATGTCAAGCATATGTGAAACTTCTATTCTAGTGAATAATATGATTGAGAGCCTTTTAAACCAAATGTCATCTTTTGTGAATAATTCTAGAAAAGAAAAGACTGGAAAGTGAATTATTTTGCAATAAGTTGGAAAATTAAATTCTAGAATGGTGCTGTCCAACAGAACTTTAAGTGATAATGGAAATGTTTCTCTGTGATGTCCATTAAGGTAGACATTAGCTACATGTGGCTTTTGCACACCTGATGCATGGCAGTGCAAGTGAAGAACTGAATTTTAAATTTTATTTAATTTAAAATTAAATAGTCACACATGGCTACTGGCTACTGTAATTAAACATTGCAAATCAAGACTCTGAAATCTGGGCAAAATAAGTATGTATTCTTAAAAGCAAAAAAATCTATCAATGTGTTGCAAATAATTTGCTAAGTTTTCTTCGTTACTGAAGTCACGCAGATTTTCAAAGTATCAGAGGGAGGCATTTCCTGACTTTGGGAGGGGAGGTGAAATCTATATATATAGCCTAAATTACTCACGGGGCACAGTTTCTTCAACTTAAGTAAAAGATGGACCCTGTCCAAATGAAAATATTAGCCCAACACTCCAGCCCCCATTGTCCACTTTTAGAATAGTTCACGGTCATGTTACTCAAATGTATACAAACATAAAATTTTTTTTTGGCTTTGCATTTAGCCTGCCTATAAATATAATGTGCTATGTGTCCTAGTCAATTTTGTACCACTTGTCTCTATTTCTCAGTATTGCAAAAATTTTTATTCACCTTGAAGATATTTGGCTTTATTTGGTAAGAAAGCATCATTTATGAAGTATGTTTTCAACCATTAGTTACATACTTGAAATAAGCGTTATCAGGAAGATAATGTAGGCAGTGTTCTCTCATCCAAAACATGATTACCAATTTTATTTTATTTTATTTTATTTTATTTTATTTTATTTATTTATTTTTTTTTTTTTTGTCTTTTGTCTTTTTGTTCCGTGTCCGGCAACGGATCGCAACCAAAAATTTTTATTCACCTTGAAGATATTTGGCTTTATTTGGTAAGAAAGCATCATTTATGAAGTATGTTTTCAACCATTAGTTACATACTTGAAATAAGCGTTATCAGGAAGATAATGTAGGCAGTGTTCTCTCATCCAAAACATGATTACCAATTTTATTTTTAAAAAGACAGATGTTAAAATACAAAAACAAAATCAAGAAATTCTTTCAGAGAACTGAAGTTCCTGAGACTGTATTGACCTCTGGAGAGAAAGAAACCAGCTGGGAGAATACAGCAGTCTTCCAGGTGAGGCATGCATGATACATGCCCAAAGCAGCAATGTCTACTTTTATCATAAAACACTCAGACTTTGATAGGGTAATGTCAATACCTGTGAATATGAGCTAGGTTAGAACAATTCTCACTCTTCTAATTTTCAAATGATCTCCAGTTATCACAACCAATACACTGTAGATTAAACTATCAGTCTCAGATAAAATTTGAAGCATTTCAAAATGAGTAGCTAGATAGGAAGAACTTTGCAAACCACAATATCCACTATGTAGAATTAAGGTTTTGTCTTGAATTTATTCTAAACATCAAATTTTAAATCCTTACCTAAAGAGCCATTCATGTGATGTGACTCCATTCCTCCTAATCCACCCATGGGACCATCTGACCCAGGGCCCATTGGAAACTATTTAAAGAATGAAGAAAATGACTATGATCACATTAAAAACAACTGTCTATCTCAATGTTACAATATCTATCTTTAACATTACAAAGACACCGCCACAACTTATTTTTTCATTTTCAAGTTATGGAGATTTTTTACTCTATTTTTTTTTCAGCCTTGTGGATTCTCTAATTGACTGTCCCACTTATCTCATCTTCTCAATGTTCTCAATGTTCTGGATGTCTGGATGTTCAGGCTAATCCTCATTTATGTTCAAATTTTTCTTCTTCAGATATTCTCAAATAGAAAGCAAACACATTCTAGTGCAAATGAGGTGATAAGCATTCTCTCCTATCATACTGACAATTTTGTATTGTAAACCAAAGGTAGTACTTAAGAAACTGCTAAAGGTATTGGCTTATTAATAAGAATAATTCAACATCATTATGCCAATATTAATATTTTTCTTAGCAGACAATCAATCTATCTGTGCTCAAATGGACATAATAAATAATTTTATCTTATAGGTTAAATACTTTTAGCTCCTTGGGGATAGCTGAATTCTTGATAGCTAATTCTTGGCAGTCTCAACTATGTCAGTTCAATACAATTAGAGATTCTACAGCAGTTCTATTTAACATTTTTTAAAGCAGTGGAATTCTTTTTCTTTTCTTTTACTTTCAAGTAAAATCTTACATTGGAAGCCTGGCACAAAACAGATGTGAACAGATGTGCTAAGATAGAGCTGGTGATAGAGAGCCCAAGGCCTGTCCATTCAGTCTTCCCTTCATCTCCCTAAAATGCTTCTGAGGAAACCTGGAGCGCAGTTTGAAGACAAGTCATCTATAATTGCCTCATGTTTACTGTTAAGACAGCCTACTGAACATACTTTTGTTTAAAATTTCCCATGTCAAAATCATTTCTTCCATGTTGTATAGTGCAGAATATTGAATGTGATGTGTGTGTATGTGTAGATTGGGTTGTGGTGGTTACTAATCATGAAGGCTTTGGGCGAAAAAACTGCCTTCAGCAGACAACCTTGTATACCACCACCTCTGTGTGGAAATAAGATGGCCTTCCATCACTGTGAGCATACATACTTCATGCTTATAAATTTTCCCAGGAGAATGCCAATTTTGTTGTATAAAATTGAGAATCTGAAAGCACAAGGATTGACTTTCAGCAAACGACTTGGAATATACACGCCTCATTGATAAGTCAAAGAGATTGACTTTGAACTTACTGTTGTTATTCAGCTTTATTCAAAAGCATAGTTTAGATCTGGGCTGAGAAACTGGTGCTGGTAAGCTCAATAATCGTGAGCTTATTTGGTCTGGCCCTTTTATCTGGCCCCCACAGTGTTTTAAAAGACACTAAGACTGTATGTATGTATGTTTGGTCAGTTTAGCACATAACATATATATCATCTGATTTTTCTTTAATCTCAGCTACCCTATATATTCATACATACGTACATGTGTATTAACCATAATCTTTTATAAATATTTTTGTTAACCTGTAGACCTTATAAATAAATAAAATATTTTCCTGTGAGCTTTTGTGGAAAAGTCATGACAATACTCTATTAAGAAAACCCCAATTCTTCCTGTGTAACTGTATCAATTCCATATTTAAACTCTAGAAGATTTCATAACCTAAAGAAAAACAAGCATATACAACTTCCTAATTTATTTCCAAGTTTTTTACGATTAAAAAAAAACACAATGAAGAAAACTTAGTGATCCTAAAAACAAGGTTAACATAAATGATTATATATATATAACCTGTTATTTTCAGAGTCAGTATTAATCATTAAGTATTTGAGAAAAAATAAGGTGAGACATCAACATTTTATAATTGATTAGGTTTGGTTTTACATTTAATTTATATTGATATAAAATCTGTTATACATGTTACGCATTGTTTTCTCAAACCAGAACATAGAAAGTATTAGATTTTTCTGATACCCAATAAGCTCCCGGACAATAAAATATAAAGTTTAAATAATATCCAGGAAATAGAATGCACTTAGAGTTTGAAAGTCTTCAAATACATTCCAAAAATTTAAAAAATTCATATTTACATTAGGTCTGTTAGGTCCAGGAGGTACTGCATTCATTAAAGTATACATGTTATCTCCAGAGTTGGTTGAATCTGAAACAAAATATTACTTAATTAATATTTTTCTTTATAATGTACACCCAAACCACCACAAAGCTATAATCAAAGATGATACGGATAAATACATATTAATAGCTGCTAATGTTCACAAACAAATACCTGGCAGTAACTTTCTGACCCCAAAATTATCGTTCTGAGATCATAAATTGGGTATATAATAGCAATAATCACTTTAATAATTCAGGTCAAAAGACCACCACAAAGCTATAATCAAAGATGATATGGATAAATACATATTAATAGCTGCTAATGTTCACAAACAAATACCTGGCAGTAACTTTCTGACCCCAAAATTATCATTCTGAGATCATAAATTGGGTATATAATAGCAATAATCACTTTAATAATTCAGGTCAAAAGAGCATTACTTTAAAAATCTAAAAAATTACAATAAGGTTTTTCTTTTTTAAAAGACATGGATACTTTTTGACTTTTTTAAGCAATTATATGTATACATGTAACAAAAATCTCTTAAAATTCAGATTCAGTAGCTTTTCAGTTTTCATAATTTCCTTAGGTTTTCTATACACAAATTTAAAAAATAGCTTTCTAGCTAATAATTAGTAAAAGCTGGAGAAATATCCTGGCTTAATTCCAAAAAAAAAAAGCAATTAGAACAAGACCATACAATTGGAATGAAAAATGTTCTTGCTTAAAGAAAAAACCAGCTTCCTCCAGCACAACTTTTGATAAAAATTTTTTCACACATTTTATTCTTGATTTGTTATAATAAAAATAACTGTAGTGCATATCCATATAAATATATGTAACATTTCATAGTACTATTAAAATTTATATTTCATGTCTATTAACTAATTTTAATTAAGTCTCTGAAAATATGTGCTTTTATAATATAGAACCCACAATGAAAAACTAAATATTTTACACTGAGAAAGTATCAATTATAAAATATGGTTTTCTATTTTTCACAATTATACAGTTTCTTAAGTGTAATGTAATAAGCCTCTCTTTTGAAAAAAGATGTGTTTTACATGTTTGTACTGATTCAAGACAGAGGTAAAATCACTTGTTTTCTCATGGCAGTCACCACAGAGAGGGAAATGGGCAATTACTTTTCCTCTGACTATGTGATTACTTATTAGACATTAATAAGTTGATTATTATTTTACTGTGCATCACATAGAGTAGGTGTGACGTCATTTATTGGTTGTTTGCCAGTGATCCATAAATCTAAATATTATTTTTTACTTCTAAATGAAAACATCACAATGTTGAAAAAGCTGAAATCCCCACCTCAGGTTGACACCCTATTTGTTTATGCTAAGGTCCCAACCTATGTTTGTGGCCTTAACTCTCTTTACATCCTTACGTATGGTATAGTCCTGCCAACCCAGGCTTCTTGTTCCTTCTGCATATGACCAACCTTTCCCACCTTCATATTTTGTTCTTTCTTCCTCAAGCATCTTCTCCCAAATTCCACCTGCTGAAATGCTACTCACTATTCAAGGCCAATATCAAATGTTGTCTCTTCCATGAAGGTTTTTTTCTGATACTTGCAAGTGCATGAGTGTTCCCTCACCACTAAATGCTGCCTTACATTATAGCTAATATTTTATTTGTCTTATTCTTCCCTCCTGCTTCCAACTAGGATATAATAAGCTCACTGAGAGAAGGAAAGGAACCATGTCTTACTCATCTTGTGTAATACAGACAATAAATATCTGCTAACTTAGATTTTGCTAATGGAATAAACTCCACCACACACAAAGTTATCTTTCAAAAGTCTTCAATTGCTTTTTAAACACAGGAAAACTTCAAATGATTTTTCAACTGTATTAGCCTTACTTTTGGTGAAAGGAAAATGGGCTGTATATTTTAAATATGCAGAAATTTTTTTTTTATCATTTTTAAGACTAATCAAGAATATAATTTCATTTGAAAAAAAATTGAGGGAAGAAGATTGGTATTTTCTAGGAAATGTCTGACTTCTTTTATAAACAGAAAAGCTTTGCCATAAACTGGATCTTCTGGCACCTATTTTTTGGGGGTTGGGGGTGGTGTTGACTTAATATTAGAGTAGTGACTGTAATAATGAGTATATAACAGAGTATACAAAAAGGCTAGGATGATATGCTGGTGGCAATTTCTGGCTTGAAAGGAAGAAATATAAGATTATTTATCATGTACAATGTGTAGTATTGCTCCAAAATTTTCTTTTAGTTTTATACTGTATTGTTTATTAATCACATGCTATCTCCATAAATTAAACATCAACTTCACCATATAAGAATGTAAATGGGGGCAATATGATCAGTTCATATAATTCTATCTTCAATGAAGTCCGTTTCATTTCCAGTGAAAGTGCTTTGGGGACCTTCATTGGAAAATAATTAGGAATATAGTCCAAAGAGTTAGTGAAGCAAAGTAAAATTTTGTATTAATTATCAAATTTATGCTTTGTATAATTAAAGGTCCAAAACTTAAAAGTTATTATTTATTGGTATGATTAATGATACTGAATTTCAAGCTTCCATAGGTCTTAGATTTTATCAAACCAGTTAAGATCATATGAATTTAACAGTGAAGCATAATTAAAAATTATTTCTAATTACAAAAACTTCCATCTATTTTATCACCCAGAAGTTACTAATAAGGTGATTAGCCTCCTTCTTTGTTTCCTACTTTCTAGATTTCTATGTTACATACACTTTAAAATAAAATTGTGATTATGTTGTATTGAAATATGAGCATTTATTTTTCCATGTCATTAAAAATTCTTTGATAATAATTTTAACGGCGACATCATATTCCATCATATGCCACAAAATTCATTTAATAATTTCACTATAATTGGATTAGGTATGAAGGTTGGGTCTACTATTTCTCTATTGAGTATGACAAATGAACATCCCTCTACATAAATCTTGGGTTGTACCTCTAATCATTTCTAATATTATGATTCTAGAGTCAAATGGAATGAACCTTTTCATGACTCTTAATACATGTTTACCAGAGCACTTTATAGGAAGGTCAATTTAAGCTCCCACCATTAGAATTTCCAAGACACATTTAACAGTCTGTATTAAAGTCTCAATAAGAAAGGATAAAGATATCTAAAATAATTACATAAAATAATTACAAAAATATTGAAATATATTTCATTTAGAAGATTAAACAATAAGCCTTTCCCACTATATAGTAAACTTATTAGCAACTAATAAACACTGATAGACATGTAGGGTAAATAATACTGTTAGTGCATCTATAGCCATCTTAGAAAGATGATAGATGTGGTGGGTCTGATTTGCTATTTTAAATCTAATGGTTCCATGTATTTCAAGTTTTACTTATAAAGAATTTTTCTAAGTTGTGAGATTTGAATCTTTTTCTCATTCTCAAGGAATCTTTAAGTTAGATAAATTCCTGGGCATTTAATACAAAACCAACACAGTTTTCATCCTGATTAAATGCTACCCACAGAACAGGAATTTTCTAAATGCTTAAGTAACTGGACAATAGTTATTTAAGAACACTATTTCTTCCTATCTGGTACCTCTACTCTACTTCTTTAACCATCATGAGATAATGAATACCACTAACTTTATTTCACAAACAATTTCTATATTTTGTGATTTTATTCTAATAATCAAATGTCCATGTGGCTAACTTGATTACAATACCTGCTGGACTAGGCATGATGGGTGTTCCTGGTGGCCCTCCACCTCCTGGAGGACCCTAAATAATTATACAAAATTTCAGTAAAAATAAGGCATTTCATTAAACAATATAAGAAAAAAACAGAAGAAAGTTTAGACTTATCTCTACAATATTCCAATGTGAAAAGAATAAATTTGTTTTCTCTGTAATTTATTTTCTTTGAATGAACAATCATTTCAATATTATGCAAAACATAATTTAGCTTAAATGTGTTGAGATTGTTTTGACAAGTTTCCAAAAACAATAAGCCTGCAACACTGATTTATTATTCATGACTTAATCACATCAGGTATAGTGAGTTTAAGGAGAAACCATTTAATAGGGCCTTTAAAAATTCGTAAAATAGGAATATTATATGTATTTCTGATTTAGTTTACTGTAATTTTCTTACATTTTGTATCACTGGTTTTCATAGGAAACCAAGAGGAGATTTTCTTAGAGAACATCTTTAAAAACCAAAAGATATTTGCTTACATATTCATATTTTTAAAAAATACATTGATGTGATTTCTTTCTTCAGTCAACATCAATTATAACACTTTTGGAGCACTGTACCTTCAGCTATCACATCAATCAGAAATGAGAGGCAATGTTGACTACTGCTATGGATGACTAAGGCTGCAACTACACAATCAAACTGAAATGGAGGTTAGCTAATTCTAAATCTAATTCAATTATTTCAGACAACCAAAATAGAAAATTTAGGCAGTGAATTTTAGAATTTTTCAAATGCTCTATGTACAGTGATCAAATTAATACTTAAGAGGCCAAATTTTCATTTCATTCTAAGTGTACAGACACAGCCTACTAATTATCTCAAATAACACATGTATTTGCTATTAATAAACAACTTAAATTTCCATAATAAATCTATAATTTCATAAAACTATATATCAGGTTTATTCTTAAGTGACTAAAAAATAGGTTTGACCCAAATTTTCTTACTTTCATTTTTGTTTCATAGAAAATGTGAAGAAAGTTAGACTTTTCTTAGTTTGTACAGTATATAGGACTAAACTCACAGGTCCAAAGCAGTGTGTGCTTTTCACTGTTACTAAAACACTATTTCCATGGAGGGTAAAAGGTTCATTGATTTTATTCTTATGCACTCCTTTTTCCCACACCAGTTAGCAACCACCTCTGAAAATTTCTTTAGGAAAGATTTCTCTTTTTACCATTTTATCCTTGATTCTCTGTTAGGAATTTTCCCCTAAATATGATAACAAATTATCTTCTATGGTGGCCCTGAGATGTGGCAAAGATCATGGTTAAAAGGTCATTTGTAAATTCAAGAGATCATATAAAACTTGTCAATTTGACTTCATGGCTGTGCGAATTACAGTCATGCATTGCTTAACAATGGGAGTATGTTTTGAAAAATGTGTCATTAAGAGGATTTTGTCATTGTGTAAAAGTGTATTATAGAAGGGAATAGCAATGAATTTTCCCATTATCTACACTGGCCACTAGTTGCATGAGTGTGGGCATAATTATGAGTGTTGCATAATTATGTTACTAAGTTTCTATTATGTGCCTCATTTTCCTCATCTGTTAAATGGGGATTAGAATAATACCACCCCCTCAAAGTTATGAAAATTAAATTACAGGTAGGATTGTGCCTGACACGCAGAAAGAACTGAATGAGTGTTAGCTAACTGTTATTAACTATTATTTTGCTACAGGGATGGGTGGGAACCATTTTAAAATGTAAGAATTCTGAAGTATACAGTAACCCTTTCACTTGGGGTCAGACCTAATGTGTCAAATGCTTGGATTTCTCTTAAAGGTATAAACTACGTTTAGAAAGGTCATCCCGTGGATAAACTAGGAACTCCTTGTCAACATATTTTGTAGTAGGTTTGTTTATATCAGCACCACCACAAACCTGAGTAATATGTTGCACTATGATGGCTACGATGTTACTAGGCAACAGGAATTTTTCAGCTCCATTATAATCTTATGGGACCACTGTAGTATATGTGGCCCATCATTGACCAAAACGTCATTATGCAGTGCATGGCTGTACTGGAAAATTTTAATATGTACTAAATATTAAGAAGAAAAATAAGTGTCCTCAATTTCTAAGAATGATAAAAAACTAAAAGATCTCTCCAGATTACTAGTGATTATTCTGTTGTCTGATTCACTTTGTGATTGGGAGAAAGTTTAATGTCTTTTTAGACTTTGTGTGTGTTACATACGGTTGGGGACAGGGTGTAGATTATTTTCCTGGAGAACTGCAAATTTGAACATTTCATTGTGTAACTGGGGATGACTCTCTTCATGATTGGACAGAATGTACTGTACTGGTTTTCAGAAACATATGCTAAAGTAAAACAGTACTCAGGGCAATTCCAGACAGATTGATAACTGTTTCTCTAATGAACATCAACATATGTACTGAGGTTGGCAGATGAAACCACTCAAGATGTTCACTTCTTGGCCAATACACAGGGGCTCTTCTTAACATCTGGACAACTATTTCATTGCCCAATAAAATGTAACATCAATTCTTACGAGCAAACAAACCCAAAATGTACTTACTACATAATTCCCAGGAGATGCTGAGGAGTATGGTATCTGGAACATAATAAACAGGACAAAAAGAAATATTTTGATTCATGTGGCAACATGGAGACTGACCTAAAGTGAATCCATTTCATGACTTTCATCAAGTTTTCCAAGCTACCAATGGTTTAACAATGGATAGCAAAGGATAGTAAAGAATAAAGGAATTTATATCTGTTTAAGTGCTAGAAAACTTAATTTCTGCAATATTATCTTGGATTTACAAAAAAGAAGGTGGATTTTAGTCAACAGGAATTTAGATGGAATTACAGTTTCAAGTTATATTTGTTTCAGGTCAGTTGTACCCACTGCTTGATACTAATGACTTATTTTGTAAGGAGAAAAATATATTTGAACAGCTAAAAAACAGAGAATGACCACATCTTAGAACTCTGCACAGAGATCTGAACAATTCCCTTGCGTAACATTTTATTTCTCATGACACTCACCAAAATTATTCTATATACCACCTGGAATCTTCTCTTGTTACAATTCCTCCATGTTCACTTAGTTCATTATTTATTAGTTTATGACTTAATTGCCTCTGACCCTCCTCCATGTCACTTGCAGCATTTTATTTCTCTACAATAACTTAAATCCATTATCCTTAAGCCTACTTTGTTAATTTCTATCTCTTTGATCAATTTCTAGCCAACTTTCTGTTTTAGGGTAGAGACTTCCTGGAGAGAAACACTGTAGAGCTAAGGCTGGGTCTGGAGTTCACAGACCCCCTTGAGCTCGTTTACAAACCCTTCACACACAGGTCTATATGCTAGGTAACTAGCAAAAAGGTCCTTGAAGCCTTGGTGCCTTGGTTGAAGTAGGAATAGTCTTTATTCAGCACACATGCATTCAAGAGCTAAGCAGTACAAAGAGAAACTCAACCGCTATTGGCAAAGTCCAAATAAAAACTGAGAACTCAACTGCTACCCACAAAGTCCAAAGTAAAACTGACCAGCTACCAGCAAAGTAAACATGCTCTGTTTTTAATCTTGAGCTCTCTGCTGGCCAGCTTCTGCTTCACAAACTGAACAACACACATTAACAACAAAGTAAAAAGACACATGGGTGCACATGCGCACCAACTCCACCCCCACACAACTTGTTTATAAGATATGTGCTGCATCACCCACAACCAGACCTGAGTTGTGGGAGCCTGACTAAATTATTCTATTTTCCCCACAAATACAAAACAAGGTTGACAAGGTCCAAAATATAATCATGCTGTCCAATTTCCACCTAGTCTTCACTAATATCTGGAAGCATTTTGGCTCAAACTTTATGGAAGACCTGAAGCTTACTAGTGATGTATCAGTAAACCCAGTAAATTTCAGGGAAAAAAAGCCCGAATTTGTAGCGTTTACTAATTTCTGCAGTGTAATATTCCCACATGGCAGATTTCAAGCTACCAATGGTTTAACAATCAGCTCACAAAATTCCTAAATATTTAACAATTGACTCGTGAACTGGCCCTCATGGTGATTAGCATCCTGAGTGGATATTCTGTCCTCCTGTCACACATTAAAGCCATTAAGTTCTTGCTATGCCCTTATTTTCAGCTCAACACTCCATTGTTCATAGATTTAAATTTTCATCTATTCATCCCAAGTAGAAAAAAAATCAAACTTAGTTTCCAAAGCTAGCTCCTCCCGAAGACCATCCCATTTTCCTAAGTCCTTGCTCCTTTTATGCTTTCAATTTCTCCGTTCTCATGGCTCCTTCAAACACAGTTAAATGTAATAAGCATTCTTAAGTATTTTTTAAAAATTTTGTTATCTTATCTAGTTGTTCAATTTCTTTCCAGTTTTGCCCTGTTAAGCTCTTCAATTTTGGCTTATACTCACTGTTTCTACTTATTCTTCTATGCCCTCATTAAAAATCATCATTTGGGCTCCTATGCCTAATACTTTACTGAACTTTCACTCTTGAAAGTTACCAGCAGGATCTGACAGCCTAGTGTGAAAGACATAAAATATAACAATGTAGGTGGAAATATATCTTCTGTGGATGTCCATAGAAGATAGTCTTGAGTTGGGCTGCTGGGACAGGGAGTAGATGCCCACCAAAAAGACAAACAGAAGGACTATAATTAACAATTTAAAGTATAGTTTCAATTAGCTAGAAGACATGATTTTGAATGTTTCCAATACAAAGAAATGATAAATCTTTGAGGTAATGAAAAAAAAAAGTGGCTGCTGCAATGTGGGACTTGTAGGGGATTGTGGTAAACAATAAAGCTACTCATACACATACTCAGAATATGAATGAATTTATGCTGTAGTAAATAAAGAGTCACAGGTTTTAGAGAGACATGTTCAAATTTATGTTTTAGTAAATTGACTCTAGAGGCATCATGGAATATAAACATAAGTTACTGCAATAAGTAAGATGATAAAGAGTTGTAGACAATGCTAATGAACATAAGTAGGAGTAAGAGAATTTGAGAGTCATTTCACAAATTACTCAGCAAGGCTTGGTGACAAACAGGATGTGGCAGACAAAGGAAGGAAGAAATTAAGGTAATTCCTAGGTTTCCAACTTCGTGACTGGGTGGATGATGTTGCTAATCATTTATATATAGGGAATCTGGAAAGTGGGGCAGGTTTGGGGGAATGTCTGATATGTTGAAGGCATTAGTATGCATTGAGGTAGGTTTGATCATCAAACATTTAGAAATATAGGTCTAGAACTTATTAGAGATCAGGACTAAAGATACAGCTTCAATTGAATAAATTTCCATTTTGTGCTGGACATAATACTTGATCTAGGATTTGACTAGATTTTGTGATATTTGAAACTGTATGAAAACACCAAAATGAAAAAAAATAGGATGCAGCTCAGGAATGTAATCAGAAAATATTACCAATTGAGAAAGGGTGGATAATGTGACTGGATGAAAATCAGGAGAAAATACCTTATAAAAAGCCAAGCAAACTAGACCTTTAAGAAGCAGCTTGGGGGCCAGCCTGGTGGTGCACTTGGTAGAGTGCGGCACTTGGGAGTGCGGCAGCGCTCCCCCCGAGGGTTCGGATCCCATATAGAGACCAGTCCGCTCACTGGTTGAGCGTGGTGCGGGCGCGACACCGAGGGTTGCGATCCCGTTGCCAGTCGCGGTACGGGTGCGACACCGAGGGTTGTGATCCCGTTACTGGTCATGAAAAAAGACAAAAAGGAAAAAAAAAAAAAAGAAGCAGCTTGGCTAGGAAATGTCTAAACCAGGCTTATTCTTGAACTCTGTCAGGCTCTTGCCTTTTAACCTTTATGTGACTCATCTAAAAAAATAACAAAAAGTAATACTTTAATAAAAATATGGAAAATTAACCATTATTGAAATGAAAAAAGGAAATTAACAGACATTTAAGACAAAACAAGGAGTCAAATATCTCAGAGGTCACATATGATGAGGACAGAAAATAAGTCGCATTTGATTAGTAAGTAGGAGGTCACTAGTAACCTTCAGAAAAGGACTTTCATGGGAATTTAAATAGGTTGAGAAGTCAATTCGATAAAACTTCACTTGTCACTGCTACGTTTTAGGCAATGCACTGCCATATAATGATGAAAAAGGAAAGCCAAGCAATTCGCTATTTAGTGAATAGTGGTGAGGGAGTGAAAGTGTGAGAGACATGGGATGACAGTTTGAGACTGAGGGAGGGTTAAGAGAAGTTTCTATCAGCTACCCCCTCCCAACTCTAGAGGAGTGGAGGACTAGGGGTTTAAGGTTGTCTTGGGATTTTGTTTACTGGCATAGCACTAGAGGGAAGTTCCAGTCAGTGGAAAGGGACAGACTGAAGACTCATTTGGAAGAGTCAATGAGTAGGATATGTGAAGAAGCAACAGTAAAGAGAACAGAGGGTTTAGCATTAAAAGAAAGAACATTTCTATTTCTGAGGCAAGAAGAGAGAAAGGTGACTAAAGATCTGATAATACTGGAGGTAAAGGGTAGAATCTGAAGAAATTTGAATCTAATGGTCTTTTGGTTCTCCTCTGTAAAATATAGACAATTTTAGCTGATAGAGAAGGGGCCAATAATGTAGGGGCACAATGAGAATAGTTACAAAGAACTGTAACAACTACTGAAGAGATCAGGAAAAACAGCTGACTAAGCTTCACCTAACAATTCCTGATTTAATTTTCTTTGTTGAACCACACCGCCTTTATTTTTACTCTATATGGCTTGGGTAGGGATCAGGGAGTGGGCATGTGACCTAGTCCTGTTGGATAAAGTATTGTACCCCCTGGCCATAATTGTTTCATAAATGAGCATATGACCCATGCTAAGCAAATCCAGTTCAGTTAGAGTTGTTTCCAATACTTTTGCTTAACTGATAAAGAGTTGTGCTCTTTTGTATTGCTATGTACTGTATTGTATTCGACAGTCTTGCTATGAGGAGGGGAACGAAGGTAAGAGATGAATATAGACTGGGTCCTGATGACATTATTTAAATCCTTGGAAACAAATGTGCCCAAAGCCAAATTTATATATGAACTCTTCAGATACAAGATCCAGTAACAGTCTCTTTCAGTGTGAGTCCAGTTTGATTGGTTTTCTGTACCCTATAATCAGAAGTGTCTATTTTCAATAAAACTGCTTGATACTTAGTGATTAGAACTTGCTGTATAGCCAAACCAAAGTGCACAGTTGCCAGTTGCTTATGAAAAAGATAAAAAGGGAAAAACTAGAATTGGTAGATTTGTAAATAAACTTCCAAATAAGAATCTGAGGCCAATAATGTAATCCTCAGAGTCAAGGAAATTAAAAATAAAAATCATACTTTTATTCTGAATTAAAAATATAAATTTGCCCTTAAAAATGTTTCTCTTGCTGTCACGTAAAGGAGTGCCCAAAACTATTTTTAATCAAAACACTTTTACATGACAAAATTGTGGATTGTCAAAGGTTAAATACTTAACTATATTATGAATAATGGTAGGCAGATTTCACACTTTCAGAGAAGCGAGTTATAAACATGAAAAGAAGAAAGGCTAGAAACAGCTCAGTGGTGTTATACTGAAATTAAAGCATCAGTTTGCTTTCATGATGTTAATACATGTAGATAGATAAAGGTACAGATATGTATGGGTGTGTGTGTATACATACCTCTATTTCCTAATTCTGTTGGTTGAGGGCTTAGAATATGTATCACTTCAGTGGATTCTAAATACATGGGTATTTCAAATAGTTAGTGGAGCAATAGAATTAAAAGATAACATGAATTTTTCCATGAACTTTTTTGAAGTACCCTTGTACCATTCTCCACTAAAAGGACTCAGTGGAGCCAGGGAAATGGCTATTTCCAGGACTAAAGCTGGGAAAATATAAGATGAGTTTCTAATGATTAGAGAATAGTGGGGACATGTTAAAAGGACAAACAATCCAGCTTGAAGGGGGTTCCTACTGGTCAAATTTGGGACAATTTTAGCATTCTAAACCCACTGAACAAAATAATCCATGAGTACATCTGATATACATGAATTAATATGAATGGAGAAGAAAGAACAACTCTTTGTTACAGTAGAAAGCCAACTAATAAATGGAGAAGGAAAGATAGAATTAGGCAATCAACAAAGTAAAAAAAAAAGATTAAGGCAAGAATCATCAATGGTTGCCAAAAACAGCAGATGAAAGTATAAGCAGGAAGAGAATATTTACTATTGTTTCAAAGTATATCTCCAAGTTAATAATTACAAGGGGAAAACAGTAATTTTACAGTGGAGAAACTTGACAAGTACTAGCTTAACCAAACGATCAAAATTAAAATTACCAATAATGGGACAAATCACTATCACGTGCCTCCTGAAATGATGCACTGAGAAAAAAACAAAATTACTTTTGTAGTACTCCTGCCAAATATCTGTAACCCAAATATAATCATGAGGAAATATCAGACAAAACCAAATTATGGAACATTCTAAATAACTGGCTTGCATTCAACAAAACAGCAAGGTTAAGAAAGACAAAGAAAAACTGAAGAACTGTGTCAGATTCAAGGAGACAGAGACATGACAGATGAATGCAACAAGTGAATTGGGATTTTCTTTTGTTATAGAAGATATTGGGACAATTGGTGAAGTCTAAGCAAGGTCTGTAGATTACAAAACCGCATTACATCAATGTTAATTTCCTTATTTTGATCATTGTACTGGGATTATGAAAAGCAATGTCTTTTGTTTTTAGGCAACAAAGTATAGGGATAAAGTTACAGGAAACTTAAATGGTTCAGGAAAAAATATGTTTATTTAGAGAGAAGAAATCACAAAGCAAATGTGATAAAACATTAACACTTGGGAATCCAGGTGGAGGGTGTATAAGAATTCTTTGTACTATTCTTGCAACTTTTCTGTAAATCTGAAGTTACTTTAAAATAAACATTTAAAAGAAAAAAAAATAACAGTGAACAAAACATATTTGAAAACAGCAAAAAACAAACAAAAAACCCAACCACTTTAATACACTGCCCAAAGGAGTCAGATGAGGAGTCACAGACATACTGTATTGACACAAATTAAAAAGTGTTTGTAAAATTAAATATGGAGAGAAAATCTAAGAAACTTGGAATTCAAAATAGTATAAATGATTTGTCCCTACAAAATAATGATTTGGGGTGAAAATCCCTCTTTTTTACTTCTGTTTCACAGAAGTCCTATGTTTCAGCTAAAAGTCATCAGTTTTCTATGATTTTTTTCCTTGTTCTCATTATAAATCGTTTTCGGAGAAATGCTTTTCCTTTGCATGCTTAGAATGATACCACTTTCCCTTTGTGAAGAGAAAACCACAGGCCTCCCCCCAGTACTTTTCCCTGTTCACACACTTTGAGTGAGAGTAGATGTTTCCACATCTACTACTTTCAACTCTATTACTTGCCTACACATGTGCTGGTCAAACTCCCATTTCAGACTGACTGTTGGAAAGCAGTTTGGTGCACACAGCTCTTATCCTAATTCCTGGTATTTCTCAGGGTCTAAAATAATGCACAGTTGCTGATCTGATATAGTATATTCTCCTACCCGTACTGCTCAGTTCTATGAAATTCGGAAGAGATGAAGTACCTAAAAAACTAAAAATCCTCAGAATGCAGAGCTCTCTTCTTATCTATGTCTCTAATACTCTTTACTTGGATAATATACCTCTAGGTACAATGAACCATCCCTTCCTAAATGGCTTTTGGGAGAGACAGTTTCTGGATGAGTGTACAGAAGGATGTACTGATGGAGGTGGGAAGTGATGAGTGTGAACTGTACTCTGGCTGCCATCAATGGGCAGTAGAGGGATGTTTGGCTGAGCTGACAATGAGGAAGGAGAGAAGGCTCTTCTTGCTTCTAGGTGGGAAGGCTTACATAGTTAAAGTGGGTCATCAGTTGCACTTTTCAATCTACTTTATCAAACATGCAGAAAACAGAAATTCTTTCCAGATTCTGGCACTAGGAAGATTGGCAGAGTTTTCAGTGCTATAGAAAATTGTTTTTTTCTGCACCCTTATGGGCATTTTAAGAAGTTGAAAGAAGTGTATCTTGAGCTGCTAGCCAGATGCCATTTTAAAGTGAAATCTTGAATGAATTCGTTCAAATAGCAAATAGCAAATAGCAAGAAGCAAACAGAAATATGAACTCTTCTAAAGCATGTAAGCAAACTGAAAGAATTTTGGAGAAGTAAAGGTATTCACATTACAATGTAATCTGGCAAAACTGTATCTTAGAAAGATTTGTTGAAATTAAATAGTCTACTGAAGACCCAAATGGATGCAGTATCTATTCTTCCTACCTCAAATAATTTCATTGAATTAGCAAATATCACAGCTATTAAAACTAAGAAGCAGGTAACGTAAATTATTTTTTCTCTAAAAACATGACAGTTGTGTACTTAAGAAGAAAGTGATTTCTGCTTTAGAATAACGATGGATTTAGGATGATTCTTCCTATGTCACTTTTAACTTCTTAATGTTTAAGTTAACCTTAGGTTGGATCAGTTTCATGTTTATTTGGCATTAAGGCCACTGCTAGACAATGAAGGTACCTTTGTGCATATTAGCAAAAGGCATCCCTTTTAGGTAGATATCTGCATACTTCACAAATGGAACACAGGCTGTATTTCAGCCCTCTATTGACTCCGTTGATCCAGGCACCACTGTGTGGTGCACACACTACATAAATGTACACAGTAGAACCTCTCTCACATATTGAAGAACTCAAGGTTTCAAAGTCGAGAACAAAAAACATCTCTAGGATGACGAAATTAAAATCATATTAATTTTAAGACTGATAGCTTCATTTTTAACCTGTATATATATTTATGTGACATCATTAAGAGAAAAAAATTTGCACAGTCAAACCACTGCCACAAATACATAAAGAAAATTCCCAGGATGTCAGGTACATAAAGGAGATGTGCAAGGATGGCAATTTAGCTAACAGGCACAATGCAAATGTGCATTTGCTTTCTGGGGGCAGCAAGAGAGCAAACCTAGGTATAATTAATACAACAAATTTAATCATAATAATTTGGTCTCCTCTAATAGAGACTGATTATATCTGTCAACTTACTGATTTTCATAGTTATTTTAGAAGATCAAACTATATTATGATAAATATAGACCATTATATGGGCTATTGCAGTATACTTAAATCACACTAACTCTTTTTTATTTTTAAGAGTGTTAATTGACATAGAATGAATGTTTACATTAGACCTTGAAGTGAAAAAAACTACATAATTTCAAAAATTAAGTGTATTTTTCTAAAATATTCATAAAACTTTTTTGAATGATTACTTTTAAAAAAGATTAGTGCAACTGATTGCAAGGCAACACATTTTTGTTGTTTTTGTTAATATTACAAGTACAAAAGAAATGAAAACAAATATATACTCACTGAATTGGCATTTGTGGGGTTTGGCCAAGGTCTACCACCACCTGGACCCCTACAAAAAAATATGATAGTTACAATTTTAACCTGTTCTTTGAATGTTTCACAATAAGTAATAACCAATTATAAAATATTAACATTTACAATTCAGTTACCATGCAGCTCTAATTCAACACTAAAATTACATTTTATATTTATTTTAACAGCTTTTTATTTCTTAAATAAAAAAAAATTATCATTCCATGAAGGTCTTCTTCCTAAGTCAAATTACTTTTAGTCAGCCCAGTTTCATTTTAATATCAAGTTGTTACTTTAATAAACAAAAAATGGTATTCATCAATAGTAGTAAGTATATACATACATACATCTAAATATCACAAAAACACACTTTTGGAGTAAAAAGCACTAATTATGAAATAAATATAATCTATAATCTTGTGACATCAATATAAATGATGCCTATGTCATATTCCAAATGAAATAATTTGTAAAATATTACTAATATGTATGAAATGATTGTTCTTACTATAAATAAATAAACATACATAAAAGGTCTCTAAAGTTGCCTCTTTTTCAAAAAATCACAAAGTATCAGACCTGTTACTTTATATATATATCTATATATCAACCTATCTTTCACTGCTATTGATGATTTAGTTACTATTAAATAAAGGAATCACATTTTTTGTTCTCATAATTTTAATTCAAGGCAGTGGTCAGAGTAAATCTCAGGGGAAAAAAGGAGGTAATCTATGCCAATGTTTCTTAATATATTACTTCATTTTAGGGTGATGAGAATATTTTGTATTCCATAGCTTATAAGAACATAAAGCTTTTGAAACAAAATCAATGCCCAATTAATTAAATCAATAAAAGTTTCTTGTTCTCGTGCTTTAGTCCTAAGTATACCTGAATAAATACTACCTTATGAAATGCAGACTACTGTCAGTCAGTCCTCTGTAATTAGGGTCATTCAAAATTCCCTTTCTCTGTGATTACAAAGACAGTAAAAAATTTTAATTAAAAAACCACATGGTCCTTAATTCTAGGGACCTTACACTTAAAGTTCTAAATGCTAGATAAAGAGGCTGTCCAAGTTAGTTACATGTAGTTACATGTTTGCTTGGAGTTGTTCTTAGTTTTGTTTTGGGATTACCTAGGGGTGTAAACAGCAGCAAAAGACATGAATCCTGTCCTTGGGCTCTATTAGGAATGCCCAAGTAGAATTTTCTCCCAATTCAGCTTAAGGAGTAGAAGGGAAAATAATTTGCCAGAGGGGACCTGGTCAAAGTCTTGCACATAGGAAGAAGGTGAGAGGCACTTGCATTGTCTCTGGAAATTGTTGTCTCTCCAAGATGATGATGATTATTTTACAATTAATTACTAGAACACTTTAGAAAGATGATTTCCCTTATAGGATTCAATGTCCCAATGGACACGAACTAAGGTAAAACAAGTGCTTATGAAGTAAAACATTTGGGTAGTAAGATCCATCCACATGATTTGTTTAATGTTAAATAAAACATAGTAAGGAAACTGAGAAATATTTATCTTGACAACATAAAAATTACACATATGCAAATCATGGCATAAATTTATATGCAATGATGTTACGTAGATAATGATCTCATAATTTTGAAATATTATGATTAAGTACTATATAAAATGTATTAAATATAATGGAATATTTTGTCATTTAGAAATTTGTCTATATTAAATTAACGAGCTAAATTAAATGTTAAAATAATTACACATTTTATTCAAACATTAAATGCTAATGTTAAATTTATTATATTATAAATAACACAAAATACCTTCTATGCATTTCAATTGTTTACTAAATACAAATCTAGTCCCAGCATACTATGTGTTTCATATTAAAACTTATTTTAATCTTATGAGATTAAGTATTAATAATTCATCTAGATAAGCTAAATTTCCCCCAACATTAACACTGTATTTGAAAATATTTCAAGTTTCGCGAATACTGCTGCATAAAGTGGAGGTTAGAGTAGAGAGTACTTCTACTAGAACAACTACTTAAGTTCAGTCATTCCACCTCCTTTTGAGAGCCATCGGTATTATCAAGAAAGTAATCTACAAACTATAATGTAGGCATTATTTTGAATGGGAATTTCTATATAAGCATAGTTATATAGTAGAATCAGGTTAGCCTCATTTCAAAAATGAAGAGAAAAATGGAATTTAAAAGAAGTCTATATTTTTATAAGGATGCTGATTTTGATAAAATCAAAGCAACCATGATTACTAAAGAGAAAAATTCTATTTTCTTCTGTACTTCACCATCATTATTTCAAGGTAATAACTGCACAAACTTTATAATATATGATACAGAACAAGAATATCCTTTGACATCCTTTTGTCATCTTAGTTTTAATAAAATAGCAAGGTGTACAAAGTTGAATTAGATATGCTTTAATACAGCATCCCTACACTATTTAAAAATTTGTAAAAATGTAGTTAATTTAGAAATACACCATTATTCTAGTTTCCTTTTAAAAATATGTCATAGTGTACTTTAAAACATGTATTTTTACATTTTGGTCACAGTTTGTAAATTCTACTTTAAATTATTTAAATTAATAGCAAGCTTTTACTGCTAAAGATATAATACGAATTATAGAAATATTGAAAATAAACTTTTATTTTGCTTTTAAATGACACTTTGTATAATTTATCCTGAGTTTAGACCATGGAGATGGAAAGATTGTATCAGAATAACAATTTTCTTTGGAGATGACAATTTTTTTTAACAACAAAGTTATCAAAATTTTGTTCAAACGGTTTATTGTGCAATAAAGGGATATAGTTGCCAGTTAGAATAAAGTATTTAATTACTTTAGTGACCAGGGTTGGGTATTTTTCATTGTCATTATACTCATAGGATATAAGAAAAATGACAAGCTAAAGAAAAATGATCCAGATGTGATTCTCTGGAGGGTACCTCCTAACTGCCAAAACAAAAATATTTTAGTTAGATAAATAAATTAGTTAAAGACACATCTTAAGGTAACACCATTCTAATGCCTTGCCCTTCAATTTTTAAGTTATCCAACATGTAAAAGAAACGACATGAAGAAAGTCACAATATCAGTTAGAAATGCTTGCTTGAATTACACAGTCAGACTTTGTTTTAAAGATAATATTATGAAATGATTTTGATAAAGGTTACTCTATTGAGTGAAATGGAGATAATAATGTATTTTTATTTTTTAGTCTCTTTAAATTTACTTTGCATTGTTAGGGCCAATATCAATTCAATAATTATCTCTCTGGTTAGATCTTCCATACCTGAGAAGTTTCCCTGTTAAAGGAAAATATTTACTAATGTAAATATGTAAATATTTACACTTTCATTGTCCTTGAAGGAATCCTAATTTACAGAAAACTGAAAGTGACCAAAAAGAAAAAAGAAAGAAAGAAAAGAAAAAGAAAACTGAAAATGGTATAAGACCCCAAAAAAAGAAAATACATAGTAATAAATAATGGAAATCAGAGTCTGAAAGACAAGTACATGTAAGAAAGGAACTAGACAATTTAAAGCAGTTATTTGAGTCTCTAAATGGTCAACATGAAAATAATTTTTTTCTCTGTAACTGGCAAAAAACAGGCTGCTCTAAAGTTGGCCAAATGGCCAATTATAATGCAGAGCAATGTACAAAATAATATTAGATACATTCTTAATATTTAATGATAATTCTGGGTTGATCATAGCATTCAAAATGTATACTCCATACATGTGTACATAGTATTCAAAATTATACTCCTTAAAACCTCTTGCATTTTAAGGTGAGAATCTCATATAGGTAAACTTTATATATATCACTACTCTATTGGTAAGAGTTTCAGCTTTTGACATAAGCACAAAATATCACTCATTTATTTTGCAGCAACATTAATAAAGGGCTAAGCCTTTAAGGAATTTAAGAAGAGTCAGACTTCATGTCTATCCATTTTTACTTTAAAAGTGAAAATGGTGATAGGAAAATTTGACCTACTTTTTCCCCCTGTTCTGTTAGTTTTGAGTCTGGCTGGTACCCACCTATTACCCTATTTTCTATTTTAGACAAAACTGCTTTCCATGAAAATGGTTTCAGAATCTTAAAAAAAAGCTTGACATACATCAAAAGAGCTTATTTCACAGTGTACCTTCAATGATATTAAATGATGGCAGAGTTGTTTAATTTGATATATAAGTAACCAAAACATGGACTGATGAAAAATATATGTGAGTAGACACCCACACACCTACATGGAACACTTTCATTACTTCTGCTAAACTTTATTTAGGCCACATCGTAGAACTGATCCTTGGGTAAATTAATGAATGTCACTAATAAGCACCTGGTATACATGGGACTTTGAGGGCAAGTTGAACAATGAAAAAGAAATAAAAATTCTCTAAGAAACTGTATTATATTGCCTGACAAAACAAACTACTCTCTTCGGCTTGGAAAGGCCTTTCCAGTAAAAAAACCTTTAGTTTACTCCTTATCTAAGTGCATCTTGAATTTTCAAAAGAAAGTTCATCCTATACTGTGGAAAGTTCTTTAATATAAAAGATACAACCAGAGAGAATTCTTTGTATGTTGAGAAGGATCCCAACAAAGCAATAGTAAAGATACATACAAATATTTATAAGAGATAAAAATTCCATTCTTAGGAATTACCACGTATCTGCTAAAATGAGGTTAATAATATTCAATTATGTACTTCTGTAGAGTTAAGTCATGGTTGTGATGTCAGCATCTCTTGATACTTTTGTATAGAATCTATATGGAGACTATCTACTAACAGGCTAAAAGTTGTTATTTATGGTGCCTGAAAATGGAAAGAAAAAAAGTCAAAGGATGCAATGGAAGAACAACATAAGAGATTATGTTGTGAAAATGAAGCAAACACTACAGCTTCTTTCATTCATTTTTATACTACACAGAGATTAAGGTGCACAAATTGTTTACAAATTAGTGTTATTTTAAAAGATAGAAAATAGAACACTTTACTAAAACACAGTAATATAGCATTTTGCTTACATGTTCATTCCAGGCATTCCAGGGCCACCTAAAGCATTCAGTGGGGGTCTCATTGCACCTCCATAGTTCTGTAATGATAACCAAGGGTCAGACTACCACAAAACAAAAAAACAAAACCAAAGAGGAGGGGGGAAAGAAAGGAAAGCTGGTTAATGATTTCCCTACATAACTCCTCATTGGATAAGGCCTCTGTAATTCATTCTCTGAAGGGTCCACTCTTGTACTTTTGCTTCTATTTTAACAATTACTTTGGATTGTGTCTTTTAAAAACTAGGTGAATATGTAAGATTACTGGAGCATATTAAATGATTAGGGTGTGGTTGCAATTGTAATATTTAACATATCTTTATTAATTTCCTAATATCTGTACAATAGTGAACTTTTTCAAATAAAACATTTCATAAATCCAAAACTCTGTCTTTAAAGAAAAAATTTACTCAACATGTTTGACACTGTCAGACCCAGAACAATTACATAAAGTCTGGAAAAACGAATAGGCGAACCCAACTCAAGAAAGCTGAATGCAAATTTCTGTTCACAAAATAACAAATCCAACACAGAAATGCATTAATATACAAATACACACAAATATATGAAAACTACAGTATCCTCAAAATATGTATGCATGTATCACGACAATAAACTTCTAGTATCTAGTACGCACATTCAAGGGATAAAAACACTTTAATGTTTTAACATGCATATTGTATTAGCTTAGTTTAGTTGCCATAAAGGCCAAAAGGTTAATTTTATCATTATCATGTTAATATATCTTGACACCATGGACAACTTTCACACTTGGCTTTCTGACACCAGTATTCCTCCAACTTTTCTGAGTACTATTTCATTTGCTGGCACCTTTTATTTTGCTAATTCTTTAAATGTTACTTTTCCCCAAGTTCTAGTCACAGCGTTCTTTTCAATAAATACACATTTATGGGTAATCTTATCTGCTACCATTTGTTCAACAATTATTTATAAGTGAGGAATCACAAATCTTTATATTATCATGATATCTCTCCTAAGCTCCTAGATAACTCATATGTTGTGCTTCACAGGAGTTGTTTCTATCTGGATACCATCTTGCACTCAACATATCTAAAAGAAAACACAATATTATCTTCTCATGATTGAGTTTTTTATACTGCCTTCTTCAATCAGTTCTGTGGCATCACCTTCCATACAATAGTCCAGACTAAGAACTTCTAGGAGCTCTTTGATATCTCTGTTTTCAATTCCCATATCTAGTCAGTTACCAAAGTCTATTGATTCTACCTGTGAAACAGCTCTTGAAATGTGCTATCATTCCTATCAATAATCATTGTTATTTACTGAGACATTTACTTTTCTTAATTGGTCCCTGATTTAGTCTCTCCTCCTCCCAATCTATTCTCCATACTGCCTATCCTAAAGAGCTATCCTAAAACTCAGTCCCATTGATGTCACTTAAAAGCCATGATGACCCACACTACCTACCAATTAAGTGGAAACTCCTTAGCATGACTCTGTGAGGTTATTCACAGCTCAGCACAGCCTATCTTTCCTGTCCTTATTTCCTACAATTTTCACCTTCATTCCCTGCATACTTTCATTTCACCTCCATACCCTCCAAACTATTGGATTTCTCTAAGTTCAGAAATACACAACACACTTTTGTACTAATGTGAACTCATCTTCCTTGGCCTTTTGAGTAGTAGGGGCTAAGATGTCAAAGAAATCAAGTGACAGAAAGCCTGTTAACTCGAGAGTAAGCCACAGCTGATAAATGAAATTACCTAGTTACATGCTACTCTCATTGTTTAAGGAAATCTATTTAAACATCCCAATTTGTGAGCTATGCAATAGCTCCTAATGGCTCACACATGAGCCACTGGTTAAAAACACAGCTATTTCCCTTAACTTTTGGATCAAGCACAGTGCAGCAGCAGTTTAGCGAGGGGTCTTGGAGAGAATAGTCACTTGAAACAAAATCTGAACAGTAAAGTACACCAGAAGTGCTTCACAAAGAGAGTCTCCCCTCATTTTTGGTCCTAGAAAATCTGTGTTTTATCAAGGAAAACAATTTTCCTTATAGCTCTGAACATAGAAGGATATTGATTTGAATCTCTGTTGCCACTGTCCCATTTCCTCTTTCTATATGTGTGATCTTGAGCCAATAATTGTCCCAATGATCTCTCAAACTTAATTTCCTTATCTGTAAAATGATAATATTATCTCCTTTACAGCTTGTTGGAGGATACAATAAAATATAAAGCACCTATCAGTGCTTGGTGAATTAAAAGCATGCACCTATTAACTCTTTCTTATGACCATTAATAAGGGAGCAACTTAAACGAATCCTCATTAGTTTCCATGAGCCCTAAACCCTAACAGAATTATTTGCTTATTTATACAGAGTATGTATATTTTCTTTTCTAGACTTTTTCTGTTATATAAGGGTATTTCTTTATGTATCTCCTTCTAAATAATAAGAACCTTAAAGGCACTGTACCTATTTTACTCATCTTTGTATACTCAGTGCTCAATTATAGCATCTGCCACATAATAGGCCTTCAAATAAATGATGGGCTAATTAAACTGAATTGTCACAGGAAATGGGTAAGAAATTATTCAATACATACTTGATAGATTTACAAAATATTTTCCTTTTGTGAATAATCTAAAGCACAAAGAAATCAGGAAGATAAGAAAGAACAACAACTGGCTTTCCAAGTTTGCAAGTATCAACAAAGGCAGACTGGGAAAAGCTAATTTAGAATCACTGAATTTTAAAGCTGATAGCAACTATACAATTCCATCTGGTCTAATCTCTCTCCCAATGCAATGTTCCTGACAAAATGGCTGTTCAGACTCCACTTGGAAAGTTCATAAAAAGTCTTTCCATGATTGGGCACTTTAATGTCTAGAAAGTTCTTCCCTTTACTAAGCTGAATTCTATTGCCTGTCTTAGATTTGAAATACAGAATTGGTTTACTTTCTCTTTACATGAGAGCTCAACATATATGTCCATCTCACCATTTCTCTACCTCAGGTATCTGATTTGGAAATCATATGCTCCTATTTACATGTAACTTCTTTTTTTTTTTTCCTTTTTGTCTTTTTTTCGTGTCCGGCAACGGATCGCAACCCTCAGTGTTGCGCCCATACCGGACCAGGACCGGCAACGGGATCGCAACCCTCGGCGTCGCGCCCGCACCTCGCTCAGCCAGTGAGCGGGAACAGGTCTGTATGTGGGATCCGAACCCTTGGCGGGAGCGA